AGTGAGAGAGAGAGAGAGACACATGAAAATAAGTACCAAGAAAGAGAGAGAGAGAGAGAAAGAGAGAGAGAGAGAGGGAGAAAGAAGAGAGAGAGAGAGAGAGAGAATAAGGAATAGAGAGAGAGAGGGAGGAAGAGGGCGGGGATGACGATTAGAAGGGGAAGACAAACAACATCAGATAATTAGAAGAGAGTGAGGAGAGACACCCGATCGAGTGACCCGTAAATGAAGGCATGAGAGGGGGGCAGAAGGCTGGGGAGGACGACGATGATGACGAGGAGAGGGGAGGGGGGCAAGGGTCCTTGCGAACAAAAAAATTGGGAGCGACGTAGCAAACATCAAACTGCCGAAAAAGGTCTGAGTAGGTGAGTGGGTAACCTGGGCCATCGAGGAATGAGAGCGTGCCGAAGCGAACCTGCTTGCAAGACGGTTCCTTATTTGATGTGCCCACTATAGGCCAACCTGGGCTCGCCAGTGGCACGGGGGGCAGCGTCCAAAAGAGGGTGCCGTCGACATCTGCGTGCCTGCGGAAGGCAGGATTTGGCCGGCCTCCAACGGGAAGCCGCCGGGCGCGGCTGACAATAACGAGGACCACAGCAACGTAGACAGAGAGATGCAAATCCCCCGTACACTCATCGCGTTGCATAAGGAATGCACAATAATGCCATGCATAAGCAGGTCCCCCGACCTAGGTCCAAAGAGCGGCCCGAACAACGGAACCCCTCCTGAGCCCGAGGTGGTCCTCATTTCAGCGTCAGGACTGTGCTCCGTGACCAACGAACTGGGCAGGTTAGCCTCAAATCTCTGAGCGCTGCCCCGGCATATAATAACAGCGAGGAAGAGGCCTTTCACAGTGTCGCCAGCTTGCGCGACGGCCCCAAGGACGGGGCACGTTCCCGGGCGTTTGCTCCCCTGCCAGACCCCCCCACTTGGAGCCCCCCACTGAGGGTGAGCGCCGCCGCCCGCCTCTGCCCGAGGCGCCGGCCCCAACGCCCTACTTTAGGCGAAGAAGAGGAAGAGGAGGGAGGAGGGGAAGGGGAGGAGGAGGAGGAGGAGGAGGAAGTGAGGAGGAGAAGGAGGAGGAGGAGGAGCGGAGGAGAAGGAGGAGGAGAAGAGGAGGAGGTGGAGGTGGAGGAGGAAGAAGATTGGAGGAAAAGGTGCTGATGATGAGGAGGAAGAAAAGGTGGAGCGTTGCCGAGAATGTCCGTCTCTGACTGAACTACTCTCCCTCCCCACGCGCCTCCACCATGACCTTGTCGAGGTGGGCGCGGGACAGGAGATGCCTGCGTCGCCTCCTGGTGGGAAGACGAGTGGCCGAACCGCACCTGTCATCTCTGTCGCGCGAGCAGCAGAGAGGGGCAAAGCTGGCTGCCTCGATGCAATGCGATACGAGTGATATAGCGCGACAGTGAAAGCCAAGGAGCCGCAACGGAGGCCTAGGGTGAATAGCGGATCGGACGGGAGAATGGCATGAAGCGACGTAGACGCAACCCATTGGATGCGGAGACGCTCAAGGATATACATCAGGGGCGTGCGGGCAGCCGAATATACACGAGTTGGGCGGCCTCTGCATGCGCTGGTTCGTGATCCAGCAACCCAGCCAACTACGGAGCGCGATTAAGCTCCAAGCCATCGGGGCAACATTTAATTGTGCTTGCAACACACCAATATTCTCGAATTCAGAGCCGGGGCAGAAGTGCTTCCTTGCCATCGTCCTGATCCGACACGCGAAGCTAAGAAAGAACGCTCGGTCGAAACTCCCCTGGGACCTGCCCTGCCACCTGGGGCGCCCGCGCTCAACCCTGGGTACTTCCGCGCGGAACAGGCCACGAGCCTCGACGCCACCTTTCCGCAGAGCGAAGGCATATCTTCGACTCGCGCATCTGGGCCGAACGACCCGTCGCCCGGCACCTGGAAGGGGGGGGGCTGAGAGCACGGGAACCCAAGCGAGGCGTGCAACGTCCAGGCGACCGAGGGAGATTCCCCAAAGTCGGGGGCGAGCTTGTCACACGCCCGCCAAGCGGCAGGTCCCCTTTACAAAATCGCCCGGCGCAACCGCGCAACCTCGCAACCTAGACTTGCCGTGCGCCGAGAGTGATGGGAGCCGAGCGCGCGAGGGAGGCAGAACAGAGGGATTGAGCACTTTCAAGCAGAGGGCCGCCCCCTTCCGACATCTGCAGCCACTCGCCATGCCCCGCGCTGTTGCTCGGAGCACGCCGGAGCTGTTCGAACAAGTGTCTATCGGTTACTGCGAGCCGCCTCGGGAGTGGAAAGAGCTGGGCTTATCCCAGCAGAGGGGGCCCCCGCTCGAGGTAGCGCGACACATTCTTGGAGAAGGACGCCCTGCTCGAGCCCATGAGGGCCACTCGCCCCCTGGGCCGGGCCAAGGGGGGCCCCCGTTGCTGCTGCAAGGTGCTGCTCGGCCCAAGGCGGACTCCACGGAGCGAAATTGCCAACAATCTGAAACTCGCCCCGGGCCGATTCAGCGGTAGAGAGGACGCTCCAAACCGCCTCCGAAGCAGAAGGATCAGAAAACAAAGCCAAGGGGGGCGGCCATGCACTTGGACACCTTCAACTTTAAATCAGCGAGCTCCGATGCAAGAAGGAAGACCAGAGCAAGCGCCGCGCGCCCCCGTCCACCGCCGCGCCACCGCCCCCGCATCGTCCGCGCATGCTCGGGTACATCCACGTCGTTTGCACATGATATTCTGAAACGGATCGCCAAGAAACACGTTCGAGGCCAGAACAAGCAAGGGTCCCGAGAGGAGGGCCTGCCTGGAGGACTTCTGTAAACATCCAATACATCAGGCATCGGGCATGATCGGCTTCGCTGTAAGAGGGGCTGGCGTCATAGAGCGCATCGGTTGCGTCGGTGACACCGCGCGGGGGCCCGCGCGCGCGTGCACATGCGCATCCATTCCTGCCGCGCAGAAGGGAAGGCCAGAGCGTAGTCGACGGATGAGAGGGCGGGGGGGGCGGGCGGCCTAGCGACGACAGCATTGAGACTGGCGAGGCGAGTAGAGTCACCGAGATCAGCAGTGTCACTGCCAAAACTCCGGCCAGCAGCGCAGCCTTTTTTTGTTGGCAGCCCCGAGTCTCTGCGCGGCAGGGGCGATGGCGCGGTTGATGGTCGCGCCCGCAATTTTGTTCGCCGCGTTCTTCAGGCCGAGCGGGCGAGTGCCACGGGCAGCTCGCGCGAGGCCCTCGAGAGACCCCAGCCCCCCGGCACTTGGCTCCGGGAGGAAGGCAGGGAGGGAGGCAGACAAAGGAGAGGGGCAGTGGAGGGCCTCGTAGCGCCCAGCGCAAGACATTGAATCAGATTCCGACCCCTCGCCCACGGCGCCGAGCCCATCGGGGCCAGAGGCGCTGTTGGGCGCCCTACGAACAAACAGCTCGAGGGATCTCCTAGACGTGGCGGCAGCGACGAGATGTCCAGACCAGGCCCGCAGCGACCACGCTCCAAGTGGCGACGCCCCCGCGACGGAATGGGGCTGGACTTCTCAAAAATCAGGCCCCAATACTTGGCCAGAGCTGACGCTGACTCGGTTTGCCCGAGGCGGACGGGCGGTCGAGCAGCTCCTTCGGCCGCGCCACCGCCGCCAGCCCCACTCGGCGGCCCCGTTACAAATGCTGGAAATTTACGGCGAGCAGAATGATTCCAAAGCTGAGCGCGCCGACCAGCCGCCCGCTTCCCGCCGAGAACCCGCGCTCTCCACCCAGGACAGTTTACTTCCTCAGCGGCTTCCTTCTCGTGCTCGCGCCATTTCGCGGACCCCTGCTGCTGGGGACTCGCGAGTAGAGGGCAACAATTTAGTGGGGTCGAGGAGGGCCGCGACGCCGCGATCGGAGACTTCGATTGCGTCGCGGGCCCGCTCGCGCATACTGCGGATGGCTCGAGCGAGACGGGCATCCTGACGGGCGACGGCGCGGGCGAGAGACCGACGGGCCATCGCTCGAGACGAAAGCCGACGGGACTGCGTCTGCAGCTGGAGGCCCCCAACCGCGACGCCTGCTGACGGCGCAGGACTGCCATCTCGAGCTGCTCAGGAAAGGGGGGGGGGGGCACGATTTAAAAATGAACCTGCGCCTCGCCGGCTTGGACCATCTCAAGGCAGTCGGAGCACAAGTGAGGCGGGAGGGGGCGGGGGCGATGGCCCGATCCAGCTGGCGCAGGGCGCTCGGCAAGCGCGAGGCTCGCCGGTGCGCGGTCACAAGTGCCAGCCTTGTACAACTCTTCAGGTTCCCGAAACACGCGCATGGACTGGAGCCCTTGGCGCGGCAGCCGCGAAGGTGAGGCAAGGGGGCAACGGTCAACCTTCGCGCAGGGGCGCGTGCCCTGGTGCCAGCGCGTGGGGAGGTCGTCAGCAAGCCCCATGAGCATCCGGAAGATCGAGCGCCAAGCTCCATCCCCGGGGCGACCGCCTCTCGCTTCGGCTCTCGACGTCCCAGACTCGCGATCGCCGTCGCAAATATGGAAATCTTCCTGAAGCACGAGCCCAAAGTCGAGAGGCGCGCTCCGCACCATGACGATATGAAACTTGTTGCGGTCGCGAGCCCGTCGGATCTCGCCCTGGCTCAGATCAAAAGTGTGGACATTCCAATGCCAAAGTCGGAAGCCCGATGGGGTGGTCAAAACTTCTCAAGCCAAGATCCCCCCACAGACACCCGCGTCGAGGAGCTCGGAGACCTCGAGAGGGGCAGAAGGAGACGAAGGAGGGGCCGGCTTGGCGGCACCGCCCGCCAGCGAGCCCTCATAATAATATGCAAAAGCGCGGTGCTGTAATCCCGTCGTTGGGCAGCCCCCTGCACGGCAAAGGCCCCGCCATGAGTCTCCTGGAGGGCCAGGACATGAGAGGGGGAAGGGGGGGGGTGAGGCCGCGGGATCGCCCAGCACCCTGAGTCGTCGAGCACACGCATGAGGTCGGCGGCGGCAGAGAGCGCGACAGTGTCACGTTGTGCATGTCGCCGACGAAGATCGGAATATCGCGTTACCCACTCCGCTAAATCAAGATGCGGTCAGCCGCGGAGGCCGACTGCGCGCGCTCCAAACCGAGGTCCGCCAGCGACGCCGCATTCCAGCGGGCCGTCGGCGGGTCGCACGGGAGCACTTCCACCTTCGCAGTGGGCTGCCACTGCTGAGAAGCGCCCCCGCCTCCCTGTCCACAAAGATGTCCTTCTGCAGGAAGCTCGAGAGGGAGGTCTTGAGCTGCTTGCATGCGCGCTCCCAGGCAATGTCCTGCTTGGTTTTGTCGAGGCCAACGTATATCTCCACCGCGCTGTCGCCAGGGGTGAGCGTCCGAAACCTCTTTCAACTGCCGGGGCCCTCGCCAAGGCATGGATGCGCATGGCGCGCGCGAGCTTCCGCAGCGAGGCGCGTCTCGCCCGTGCCGGTGCCAAAGCGCAGCGCGAAGTTCCTGGGCGACTGGGGGCCCTCGACCCTGCGGTCGCGCCCCAGCTGGTATCCGCGCTCTTCGAGCCACGGCTGCAGCGCGTCAACCAGGCCGCCGAATGGGAGGGCCCCCTTTGAGTTGAAGGCGAAGATGACGCGGTCCACGGGGCGATTCCAATCCGCAGACCTGGCGACAGGAACCCTCGGCTCCGCACGCGCCAAGTCAAAGACCTTCTCCAACCACTCCATCCTCTTAGCCAGGTCACCATGGTTGCTCTCCAAAGTGGTCACCTTCTCATCAGTAGCGGCCATCCGCTCCAAAATCTCATCATATCTAGACACCGTCGTCTTCCCGATACCATTGAGCATGGGCTCGGCGCTGCCTGCGACTGAACGCGGGAGGGCAGCTTCGATCGATGACCACGCCCGAACTTGCCGAACTTCTCAGCCTGAGTCTCCCGCGCACTGTGAGAGATGGCAGGTCGCATCCAAGGGCCCGCCACGCCTCTCCCGCCGTTGCCTGCGCCGTCCGCAGCGTGACGGGGCGCGGTGGGGGCAGGGCGCGGCTGGGGCCGGCCGTTCTCCAACGCAGCGTCGGGCGCAGGGCAGCCGCCGACTTCGTCGACGGGGGGCGTGGCAGCGAGGTCCAGCTGCCGGAGGATACTGTCGTCGATGTTGCTGCCGGCGGAAGCCTGCCCCTCAACGGCCTCGGTGCGCCGCCAGGAATCGCCGCGACGCGGGCGAGCATCGGCGCCGCGGCGAGACGACGGAGGAGCCGACCTCGGCGGGGCGCGGGAGACCGAGTCCGCGAAGGAGTCGGAGTCGCCCTTTTTCTGAGACCTCCGCGGGGGGGCGAACGCATCCTTGCCATCCTGCTTGGCCTTCTTCTCCTTCTTGCGGTCGGGCATCCGCCTTGACGGATGCAGGAACTGGGAACTCCACAGTTCACCATCGCCCGACAGGACGATGGGGGGGGAGTCGAGGCGCGCTGGAGCCCCGATCCAGACCTGGGCGAACAGGCCGAGAAAAGCTAGCCAGCCGCGGATTAGCAGCATCCGCGATTTGCCGCGGGCAAAGCACATATTGAACCAAAATGGCTACGGCGGAGGAGGAAGAGGAAGAGGAGGAGGAGGAGAAGGAGGAGGACGAGGAGGAGGAGGAGGTGGAGGGGGGGGGAGAAGCCAGCGCCCCTCGGCCGCGGGTCTCGCGGGGAGCCCCGACGCCCGAGCACGGCGCGCGCGACGGCCGCCGGCGCGAGGGCCCTTTCACCCTCTACTCGGACCAACTTTTCGAGCGACCAGCGAGATGGGGGGGCCGCCGAAGCACGAGATCGCAATCTCAATTGTAGGCGGCGCGCCCGGAAAGCAAGTGAGATGGGCCGGGCCTTCTCAGAAGGCTCGGAAGTTCCCTGGCCTTCCGAGGCGTTTCCCAAGTCTTCCCCGAAAGCGTAGGAAACCTCTGAGAAGGCCGGAGGGCTCCTGAGAAGCCCCGCCGCCTTCTGAGAAGGCCTTCTCCTCCTCGTTTCCCCCCTCGCTAGCCGCCGAAATTGCGCCGGCCCAAGAGGCCGAGACCGTCCGAGAGACGGGGCAACGCATTGTCGACGCCTGGTCCCGTGAGCACCCCCCACATCCAGTGCTGGGCCCTACCTGCTCCATCTTGACAGGCCGAAGTGGCGCGGGCGGTGGCCGCCCGCGGCGAGGGCGCGAAGCGGCGCGTTTCCCTCTCGCTAGAAAGTGCTCGAGAAGGCGAGGGCGCAAAGGGTGGGTGACGGCCTCGAGAACTCACGACCATGTCTCCGTCAATTCGGGCAACCTCGAGGGGCGCCGCCCGCCTGCAGATCGCGATGTGAAAGGTTGGCAGGATGGCCGCGCCCAGCGCCGTCTCCTCGCGCGTCGTCTAGCGCATGGCCTCCAAACCTTGATCCGCGCGAGCAAAGACCCCCACGGACGCCCCATTCTTGCGGGACGCGTGAGAAAGCCGGCACGCCGCTAGTTGTGAACGCTGGTCGCGCGTCAGGGTCATCGGCGAATGGGCGAGTGATGAAAAAACGTTTAAGGAGGTGTCTTCCGCCCAGTTCTCGTCCGCGCCCAGTTCTTTTAGCAGGCCGCAGAGTCATGCGCGGACGTCCCCAGTCGCGAAGCTATGGCCGCGCTCCAACTGAAGGCCCCGATCGGGGAGTCCCGGTCGGAATTCTGAACGCGCGCAGGGGCGCATCTTCCCCAGCGCCACCGAGCTGGGCATCGCGCGGGCGGCGCAGAGTCAGGCGGGGGTAACGTCAGGGCCATTCTCGTGGCGCAGCTGGCGGCCACTCTCGACAATCGCGGAGCTCGATCCGGCTATCCTCGAGCGACGTCGAGCCCCAGATGCGGGCCGCGCCAACAGGCGCGCGCGCCCACGGCGAGGCCGGGGTCGCGAACCAAGCAGGCCGAAGCGCCGACGACCTGGACCCCCGAGGCGCCGGGTAGGGCGGGGCGGTAGCAGGGCGAACCAAGCAGGCGAAGCATGCCGAAGCGCCGGGTAGGGCGGGACATGCCGCTCGAGCGACGCGAGGGTCTGGGCGGGCCTGGGCCACCACATCGAGCGCGAGCAAGCCTTCCCCCATCTTGGGCGTCAGCGCTGCAATGTCGAATTCCCGACTGCATCAGTTCAGCGAGGCGGAGGGGGACAGCAGGATCACGTAGCGACTCTGGGGGGCCGAATTCGATCGCCACTGCCATTGCCAACAACTAAAAAACTTGGCACCTGAGTGGCCTTCGGGGGGGAGCTCCACCCTGCGCCGCGCCCGGCAGGCACTGGGAAGGTGCTCGGGCCTCAATCCACCTCCGGGCGCGGGGGCGCGCGCTCGCGGCGGACGGCGGCATGGCTCAAGAACAGAAGCTGGCCGATGAGGAGGAGGGGCGAAGAGCGAGCTAAAGAGGCCGCGTCTGCTCACAGACACAGCCCTGGGGGGAAAGAAGAAGCCCAGTCAGTGACCCCCTCCCAAGGCCCTGCCAGACTTAAAATGCTTGCCCCCCCCCCAAAAAAAAAAGCAAGCGGCAGAGGGCCCGCCGCCTGCTGGGGGCCAAATCTCGGGGGTCAGGGCAGGGGGCCCCGAACGCCGTCCCCGCCCTGACGAACCCGTGGGCCCCGCGCCGCCGACGCCAGACGACCGTGCCCGTGGCGGCGACGTCGCGCCCACCAGACGCGGCGAACCTCGGCGGCCCTGCCCCGGGCCCCCCAGAGCCCGAGGACGCGCCGCCAGGGTCCCCGGCCCCGCCCTCGCGGGCAGGCACGGGCCCCTCCCCGGACCCCGCCAGGCAAGGCCCCGTCCACAGACGGCCCCCCCGCCCCCGTGCCAGACGCCCCAGCCCCAGACAGCCCAGCGCCCGCGGGCCCCGCCGACGCCCCGAGTAGGCGGTTGACGGCGGCAGCCTCTACGACCTTGGCCTGCAGGGCGCGAATGGCAGACGGGCGGCGCCTTCGGTCGGCGCCGCCGGCCAACTGTCGACGAAGCCTCGGGTGTCCGGGCCAATCGCCTGCACTTCCTGCAGAGAAAGACGCCCTCCGACCTCCGCGAGGTCTTGCTCGTGGAGCAGCAAAAATTATTTGCGCTCTGCATGCGTCGGCCTCTGTGCGCCAGCCGCGAACGCCGCGGCCTCGGCCCAGAGCTCAAGCTGGCAGCTCCACTGGGCAGCCCAGCCTAAATACATGGCATACTGGGCGGCCGCTGAAAGATTTTCGTTGTAGAATCTCGCATGCCCTTCGGGGGCCTTCATCGACGGGCCCCCCAGCTTGGCGAAAACATCCGCCCGCGCGTTCCCCGCGAACTAGAAGCGGGGCGGGGTGGGTGGGCGGGTGGGTGGGGTGGGGGGGGGGGGCGGAGGGCCCTCGGGGGCAGAAAACAAAAAAAACAACACATCCTCGGCCGCGTGGACAGGGGCCCAGGCAGACAGCGGCGGCTCGCGCTTCAGCCTCACGAGCTGTCTCCACACGCCCGGGTACGGAGCGCCGGCACAAGTCACTTTTTCGACAGTGCCGTCGCGCCAGAGCTCCCCCTCCTGGGCGACACCGAGCGCGTCGTTGACCGGCAGCTTGACTGAGGGCATATGTTGTAACGCCCTCAGCCCAGCCAGTCTTTCGGCCCGTCCGGCTGTCTGCTGCGCGCCTGCGAGCCCGCCGTGCACAGCGCGCGCGGGGGCTCCATTGGCGCCCGGCATGACGGCTGACCGGCCGCGCCGACGCAGCTCTGGGACATCGCCGTGATGTCTAGATCCGTCGGTAAAAAGAATCCCTCCAGACTTCTGCGGGCGAGCCCCACTCTCCCCAGACAGAGCAAGGGGGGTCGCCCGGCGGCTGCGGCGCATCAACTTTGGTCCACCGAGGGATTCCGATCAAGACAGCAAACGAATCGAGATCCTGCGGTCCCTCGCCGAGAAGCCCCTGCTCCAACGCGACGTCGCGGGCCGCCGCCAAGCTCGGGCCGAGGCCGCAGTCTTCCTCGTCATGAAGCAGGCGCTATGTCAGCGCAGGGCACTCGATGAAAGCGTGGCCGAGCGTCTCGGCCCCGTGCGGACAAGCTCTGCACCTCTGGTCATCGCGCAGCCCGTGCTTATAAAGCTTTGCCTGGGGCCATCGAGAATCATGCCACAAGCTGCGAAGCGTTCCCACCCGTCCCGCCCTGGTCGCCGTCGCTGACCCCCCCCCCGCGCAAGCGCGTAGGCCTCTCGACCAGAGCGGGAGGCTCCGCGGCGCAGCAGAGCGGTGCTCAGCAATCTGGCGCATCTACCAGCGCTGGGTCCCCAGCCTGAGGAAATCGCGCAACATCGAAGTGGCGTGGCCAGGGGCACAAACGCTGGCCCCTCATCTGGCATGATCATGAGCGACGAATTGCATGAACCAGCCGGTCCGTTTGAGCGAGAGGATGACTACCTTGAGCGGGCCTCGGGCCGACGCCCGCGTCAGCCTGTCCTCTCCAGCTTCGACCCTGTCCAGCAACGCTCGCCAGGCACGCTCCGTCGCGCACGGGCCCATCTCCTGCTGCCAGATCACCCTCGCGCAGTGCATGAGCGGCGCGACCGTCGCCGCGAAGATCGGATCATAGTGCGGGTTCCTCTGGCTGGCGAGGTAGAGCGCGATGCTGACCCCTCGACCCTTGGCCCCTGCAAGCCGCGCGGCCTCGGTGCACGTCGCAGCCAGCTCGGACGGGCCACCCCGCCCACGGCAACGCCATGGGCCGCAGCTGGTAGGAGCCCCGCCTGCCACAGGCGCGACACTCTGGCACCAGCAGCACGCCTCAGCCTCATCGCCCGTCGCATGCGTGGCCGAAACACCCTGGGCCTGGTCCTGGCGTCCTTTCTCCGCGCCTTGGACCCATTGAGGTCGTGGCCCAGGTTGCGCATGTGCTGGCAGGCCCCGATCTTGGCCCGCTTGGCAAAAGGCTCGGCGGCCACCCTCCCCTGCCGCGTCGACGCCACGTAGCCGGACTTGAGCACCTGCAGCACCAGCCCCACGTCCACGACGTCATGCGTGTAGCGCTTGACAGCCTCCCAGGGCACGCGCGCACCTTGCAGGTCCATGCCGACCCACTGCACGGAGGTGTCGTCAGCCAAGATCCTCGGGATGACGTCGCACTTGACCAGCCGCTTGAGAGCCCTGGCCGACGCCACCACCAACACCGTCATCGAGTGGGAGCAGCCCGCGAGGATGCCCTGGTGCGCCACGTAGCTCTTCGGGAGCAAGCCGAATGCCTTCAAGCGCCTCGGCAAGTGGTGGTACCTGAGGATCGCCCGCATGAGGCGCAGCGGGTCGTCCATGTGCTCGGCCTCGCGCAGCACCTGCCTCCCGATGAGGCTGTCGAAAGCCTTCCAGGAGTCCAGGGGCACAGTGATGCTGTGGCATCCGTTGGGGGTCGCAATCTCCGCTGTGAGGTTGTGGTCGAAGGCCGCCGCCGCCGACGTCCTGCCAGCTCCGCCCGTGCCCCAGAGGTTAGGCACGTCTGCGTTGGCCAACCACGCCCTCGAAATCGTAGATTTCGCCTTGGCCCATAGCCGAAGGAAGGAGTTAACAAGGGCAGTCAACCTGCACCCTCCGCTCTCGTTGGGCAGCCGAACCAATGCCGTGCACAGCCTGGTCGACGGCCACTTCCCGAGCCTTTCACACTGACTGAAGTGCGCGGACAGCAAGTACAAACCGATTTCGCTGAGCTGCCACAGGGCCCTCGGGGCGATGCCTGTCTGGACGACGGCAGTCCTTGAAGTCTGGCCTGCCTGCCTGTCTGGACGACGGAAGTCCTGGACGGGGGCCTGCCTGTCTGGACAGGGCCCGCGGGGCGATGCCTCTCCTTGAAGTTGAGCGCGGCCTTGCGGAGGTGCTCCGCCCCCATCCTCGGCAGCTCGTCCCGGCCGATGAGGAGGAGGAGGAGGAGCTGCGGTGGACTGAGGGGGCGGATCCATCAGCGCCACGGCCGCGGCGGGGCTCCTTAGTAGGATTCGCACACCATGTCGAAGGACGCGGCGACGACTTGGGCAAGGTTCGGCGTGTCGAACTCCGTAGCGTCGCTGGTGTGGTGCGGCTCGGGGATGCAGTAAGGCACCTGCGGAGTTGTCACCATGTTTTCGTTGTTCGGAGGGGTAGCCATCGGGGCGAAGAAACTGCGTGGCATGGGCCGCCCAAGTACCACTGCAGCAGGAACGTCAGGAGCATCAGGAACACCAGGCGCAGCATTATGGAGTGCTTGCGACGAGGCGTCGGATTCGTGAATGTAGTCGTGGCCGTGCGTGGCAGCAGAGAGAGACGTGGGTTCAGCAGCAGAGCGTCCGAGCAAGCCGTCAAGTAGTGGAGATGCGTCATCTGTCGTGGGAAAGGGCCTCAGGGGAGGGGTGCCGACGGGTACTCGGGGCAGGGCGTCGGGATGAATGCGGGTCGAGGGTGGCAATGTAGTGGGGGATTCGCCATGTCGTAGGCGATCACGTGCCGCCCGCAGCGCCCGAAGATGCGCGTCGTAGGAGGAGGTGTTACGGGGCGTCGCCGGCTGGTTTCGGAGCTCCAGAACCACATAGTAGGACAACACCAGCCTGGAGACCGTGCTCGGCATGGAACGCTCGTGTCGGGGATCGTCAGGGTAGTCGTGACGTTCAGGAGGAGGAGGAGGGGGAGGAGGAGGAGGAGGAGGAGGAGGAGGAGGAGGAGGAGGAGGAGGAGGAGGTTGAGGAAGAGGAGGAGGAGGAGGAAAAGGAGGAGGAGGATTGAGTGCCCGTCCCTCTGGTTCCGTACAATCTCGAGCATCCGAGCCGCCTGTCTGTCCTCCCGAACGCGATGGTGCTGCTTTCCTTCGTCGTCGGCGACGCCGTCGTGGCCGCCGGCATGCCGTGGTCGCATTCCTACTTCCGCTTCCTCCCTCCAGCCCTCCACATGCTTCCGCCCCCGCCCCCCGTTCATAGCTCCCTCTTCCCCCTTTCCGACCCTACCCTGCCCTTCCTGTTTCTACCCCCCCCCCCAGTGTCTCCCTCCTCCTACGCATACCTCAGTCATCCCCTCCCCCTCCCTTTCTCCTCCGGCTCCTCCTCTGGGGCTCGGGCCTTCGCATCCGAGGCCTTCTGGCGCACCTCGAGGAACAGGTTCGGCCGGTCGAACGTGTCCTGGAACTGCACGGCCTGCTGCATGTCCAGGCTCCTCCCGCAGGTGGGGCACTGGGCACTCCTTTGCTTGGACGCCCGAGTTATCCGGGGTAACTCGGGTCCGGGGTAACTCGGGCTTGAGTTCCCGAAAAACGAACCCGAGTTATCCCTGACCCGAGTTACCCCTGATGATTCGGGGCTCTGGACGCCCGAAATATCCGGGGTAACTCGGGTCCGGGGTAACTCGGGTTTGGATTCCCGAAAAGCGAACCCGAGTTATCCCTGCCCCGAGTTACCCCTGATGATTCGGGGCTCTGATTTGCTGTCCGCAGGATGTTCAAACGTTCAGGCGACGCAGAAAGAAAAACCCCAAGACTGACCCTAAGCATTAACGCTTTACGCGCAAAAATTTACGGCAGGTTCGTGTCGTGCCGACCCCAGCGTTGGTTTTTGACACCGCAGGGATCGTTCAACCTTGAACGATCGGCCGCTGCCGCAACGTCCGATCGTTCAACATCGATCGATTCTGGGTCGCAGGCGGCGTTCAACCTTGAACACCCGCGCTGGGGTCGCCGCTGGTCGACACGACGCAAACCTACCGTAAAGACCATCTGTCCTCCCTCGCGCAAGCCGGCCAATTTTTGGCGGACCCCGGTTCGCATGACAGTGGCACGCCCTGGCCCATGTGGACCCAGAATCCAAACTATGTCAGGGGTGCGCCCCGGCCCATTTTCCACTCAGGATCCCATGGCAGGGGTGCCGTCCAGCCCTCGCCTTCCTGCGGCTTAGCTTCCGCCCTCGCCCCTCCCTGCTCGACGCCTCGTGCGAAAGGCCCGACTCTTGCCACAACGGGGCTTCTTATAAAGACCGACCTCCCCCCGTGCCTCTGTGCACACCCTCCTGCTTCCTCGCCGCCCTCCCCGGTCCTTCTCCCCCCTCCGCTACCCTCTCGCTTCCTCCTCCAGCGCTTCGACCTCCCATCCTGCCGCCCTCCAGTACCGCTTGCCTCGGTCTCCCCATCGACCTGACCCTGTCCTCGCTTGGCGCAGCCCAGCTCGCCCATCTCGCCCCCTTTCCCCCTCACCCCATGGGGAAACACTCCTTCCTCCGCCCTCTCCGCCACGCGCCCCGCCACGCGAGTCGCGGTTTCGGCTAGATGGCGTGGGTGGGGCAGGCCCGAGGGGACACCAAAGCCACAACGTTGATTAAATTATCTTCTTCAGGTGGCCCTTGAAGCCAGGGGCCTTCTGGAGTAGACCCAGGGCTTGACATTGAAGGCAGCACCCAAGTAAGTTGGCGCCGTGCCCAGTGATGGTCACCGGCCCGAATGCCACGCCCCTCCAACCCTGCCCTTCTCCCTCCATCTCTTCAAAACGCGCCCGTGCGAGCGTGACCTGGCCATGTCAAGAGGGAGGCGGTCCGCACCCCAGAATCGGACATGACACTACCCGTGCCACCCAACTGGGTGCGTCACGAGCTGTGCCTCCCAGTCGGGCACGCCACGCCCTTACCCCCACGCGGAGTACGTCGAGATCTGTGCCCCCTAGTTCAGCATATCACGCCCTACGCAGGTGCACTCCGAGCCTTGGCCCACAGAACATGGCTGCACGTACAATACCCAGTCACCAGGGAACCTTCCACCCCTAAAGGAAGCATCCTGTCTCACACCCTGCCCCTCCTCCTCCCCCCCCTACTCCTACCAGAGGGCCCGATCCTGATAACGTCCTTCTTGACCCTTTCCGTCGCCGAGGCGGTGGCGGCCAGGATAGGCACGCCTCTGCGCGGCCGTCGCCGCGAAGAGCGTGGGGCGCGTGCGCGGACCCGACGTGCAGCACCCCTACAAGAGCAACGTGAGCATAGTCCAACCGATCCCCATCCGCACTCGCACTGCGCTGGCCCCGCTGGCCGACTCTTCCTCCTGGGTGGGGGTATATGCTGTTCCCTTCGGGCTCCGCGGGACCTATCCCTACCTGTTGGCACGCCCGACATGGGTTCGGACAAACATGGTACGATGCCCAACAGCAAGCCTTGCCGAACACCGACAGCGGCCGCTGTTGGGCAGGCGACCTTGTTGTCTCAAGTAAAAAAAAAACGTTCGCGGCGGCGCCGTCAGAACGTCCTCTTCAAAATGGGCAGAACCTGCTACTGGTCTTCATCCTCATTGTTTTCATGCCCATGTTGATCGTCCCGAACCTGGGACGGTGGGCTTATAGGGCTGACATACCATGGCCCGGTCGGGGTGATGATCGACTCGACGATGCTGACGTCAGGCCTCCCCCCTGAGAGCCGAGCACCAGCCGCGGGCACGGCGACCCCCAGAGAGTCATGCGCCGTGAACCACAAACGGCACGGCCCGTGCTTGGTTTTCTCGCGATTTCGACGTAAACATCGGGCCGTCTTGTTGCCATAATTCCAGCGCCCAGGAGACGTTGCCAGGCACCATGACCATTGGAAAATGACGACTCCAGAGGAAGGGCTGGTCCCCGCTCCAGGGGCTGGCGAATAAACAGGATCGACCCACGAACCCGGAAAGGAATATAGATATGTAAGGCATGGCAACGTTTCAAAGACACTTGATTGGGCGACGGGCAAATGCAGTGCTGAATGTACAGATCTTGATATACTGTGCCGAGGGCTGTGCTGTGCTGGCCGTGCTGAACTGCGATGTTCCATGCCGCGATTGTGCTCTATATAGCGTTGTGGATCGAGTCCTCCCTGGCATCCGAGTCCTGACCGAACTGATCTGGATCTTAAGCTCGAGAGGCCTGAGCAGATGGTAGCTGTCCCAGAACTAATCGACAGAGGGGGCATGCCAGGAGGACGCGCCGCGGAACGTCCCGAGGGACGCGCCAGGCGACGTGCCAGGGGACGTGCCATGTGCACGCACCGCGGGACGTGCCAAGGGGACGCGCTACGGAACGTGCGAATGGACGTGCCGCGGGACGTGCCAGGGGACGCGCCGCGCGACGTGCCAGGTGGACTCGCCAAGGAACGCGCCAAAGAACGTGCCAAGGTGCAATGTTGAATGTATCGATCTTGACGTACCGTGCCGACGGCTGCGCTGTGCTGGCCGTGCTGAACTGCGAGGTGACATGCCGCGATTGTGCTCCATATAGCGTTGTGGATCGAGTCCTCTTTGCATCCGAGTCCTGACCGAACTGATCTGGATCTTAAGCTCGAGCTGCCTGAGCAGATGGTAGCTGCCCCAGAACTAATCGACGGGGGGACATGTCAGGAGGACGCGCCGCGGAACGTCCCAAGGGACGCGCCAGGCGACGTGCCAGGAGACGTGCCATGGGCACGCACCGCGGGACGTGCCAAGGGGACGCGCTACGGAACGTGCCAATGGACGTGCACCGCGCGACGTGCCAGCGGGACTCGCCACGGGACGCTCCGCGGAATATGCCAGGCAACATGCCAAGCTGCAATGCTCAAGGTATCGATATTGATGTACCGTGCCGAGGGCTGTGCTGCGCCTGGGCGACCTGGACACGTGAAAACACGCGTTTCGCTCAAGACGTTCTCAGCACATCCTCACGCTAGACATCCGCCTGGGCAACCTGGACACGTGCAAACAAGCGTCTCGATCGAGACTTCCTCGACACATCCTCATGCTAGACATCCGCTTGGGCGACCTGGACACGTGAAAACAAGCCTCTGGTTCGAGAAATCCTCATCAAGTCCTCATGCTAGACATCTGTCTGGGCAACCTGGAGGCGTGAAACCAAGCGTCTCGCTCGAGACATCCTCAAGACCTGGGCACGTGAAAACAAGCATTTCACTTGAGAGATCCTCTGAATTCAGGTCCCCAGGAGAGGACAATATTTAACACAAAACAAGCGTTTCGCTCGAGACATCCTCAACAAATTATGAAAAACAAACATTTCGCTAGGGACATCTTGAAATTTTAATTCGCCGGCCCTCTTCCCATTCGTTATTTATCGCAGAAGAAATCCGCCGGCCCCCTTCCCGTCAAAACCGGGGGGAAACCTCTAAAAGAGAACCCTGGGCCTGAAGCCCTTTCCGGGACATGATGGACCCACGAACCCGGAAAGGGATATAGACATGTGGAGCATGGACACGTTTTCATGATACCCAACTGGGCAACACCTCACGAAACATCCCACGAGACACCTCACGAAACAGCCCACGAGACACCTCACGAAACATTCCACGAGACACCTCACGAAACATTTCACGAGACACCCCGCGAAACATTCCACGAGACACCCCACGAAACATTCCACGACGACAGGCAACCACTCAACCAAGGCGGTGTGGTCGTGCTGGGGAGTGGTCGTGCTGGGGTGTGGTCGTGCTGGGGGGTGGTCGTGCTGGGGGGGTGGTCGTGCTGGGGGGTGGTCGTGCTGGGGCGTGGTCGTGCTGGGGCGTGGTCGTGCTGGGGCGTGGTCGTGCTGGGGTGCTGTGGTAAGGTCGGTCGTGCTGGGGTGTGGTCGCTGGGGTGGGGTCGTGCTGGGGTGTCGTGCTGGGGTGTGGTCGTGCTGGGGTGTGGTGGGGTGTGCGTGGGTGGGGTCGTGCTGGGGTGGGGTCGTGCTGGGGTGTGGTCGTGCTGGGGTGTGGTCGTGCTGGGGTGTGGTCGTGCTGGGGCGTGGTCGTGCTGGGGTGGGGTCGTGCTGGGGTGGGGTCGTGCTGGGGTGGGTTCGTGCTGGGGTGCTCCGCACCCTGTGATTTATCGATCGGGTCGTGCTGGGGTGTGGTCGTGCTGGGGTGTGGTCGTGCTGGGGTGTGGTCGTGCTGGGGTGTGGTCGTGCTGGGGTGTGGTCGTGCTGGGGAGTGGTCGTGCTGGGGGGTGGTCGTGCTGGGGGGTGGTCGTGCTCGGGGGTGGTCGTGCTGGGGGGTCGTGCTGGGGGGTGGTCGTGCTGGGGCGTGGTCGTGCTGGGGCGTGGTCGTGCTGGGGCGTGGTCGTGCTGGGGTGTGGTCGTGCTGTGGTGAGGTCGTGCTGGGGTGTGGTCGTGCTGGGGTGTGGTCTTGCTGGGGTAGGGTCGTGCTGGGGTCGGGTCGTGCTGGGGTGTGGTCGTGCTGGGGTATGGTCGTGCTGGGGTGGGGTCGTGCTGGGGTGGGGTCGTGCTGGGGTCTGGTCGTGCTGGGGTGTGGTCGTGCTGGGGTATGGTCGTGCTAGGGTGGGGTCGTGCATTTCGCTCGAGACATCCTGCCAAAATTCCAGGAAATCGTACAAAAACAAACGAATTAGTCGAGACATCATCGAAATTCCTTCGCGCGGGGCGCTTTTCCGCGTCGCGGTCGGCTCTGCAAAACAAGCGTTTCGCTCGAGACATCCTCGGCAAACTCTGCGGAGCAAGCGTTTCGCTCGAGACATCCTCAACACACGAAAAAGTGGCCCGCACCCTGTGATTTATCGATCGGGATTTCAAAAACAAGCGTTTCGCTCGAGACATCCTCAAATTTTAATTCGCCGGCCTCCTTCGACCTCGTTATTTATCAGGGAAAAAATTCGCCGGCCTCCCTCAAGTTGGCACCGGGGGACAGGTTTACCTACTAAAAGAGAACCCTGGGCCATGCCCTTTCCGGGAACATGATGGACCCACGAACCCGGAAAGGGATATAGACATGTGGAGCATGGACACGTTTTCATGATACCCAACTGGGCAACACCTCACGAAACATCCCACGAGACACCTCACGAAACAGCCCACGAGACACCTCACGAAACATTCCACGAGACACCTCACGAAACATTTCACGAGACACCCCGCGAAACATTCCACGAGACACCCCACGAAACATTCCACGACGACAGGCAACCACTCAACCAAGGCGGTGTGGTCGTGCTGGGGAGTGGTCGTGCTGGGGTGTGGTCGTGCTGGGGGGTGGTCGTGCTGGGGGGTGGTCGTGCTGGGGGGGTGGTCGTGCTGGGGGGTGGTCGTGCTGGGGCGTGGTCGTGCTGGGGCGTGGTCGTGCTGGGGTGGTCGTGCTGTGTGGTCGTGCTGGGGTGTGGTCGTGCTGTGGTAAGGTCGTGCTGGGGTGCGGTCGTGCTGGGGTGTGGTCTTGCTGGGGTGGGGTCGTGCTGGGGTGTGATCGTGCTGGGGTGGGGTGCCGTGCTGGGGTGGGGTCGTGCTGGGGAGTGGTCGTGCTGGGGTGTGGTCGTGCTGGGGTGTGGTCGTGCTGGGGCGTGGTCGTGCTGGGGTGGGGTCGTGCTGGGGTGGGGTCGTGCTGGGGTGGGTTCGTGCTGGGGTGCTCCGCACCCTGTGATTTATCGATCGGGTCGTGCTGGGGTGTGGTCGTGCTGGGGTGTGGTCGTGCTGGGGTGTGGTCGTGCTGGGGAGTGGTCGTGCTGGGGTGTGGTCGTGCTGGGGGGTGGTCGTGCTGGGGGTGGTCGTGCTGGGGGGGTGGTCGTGCTGGGGGGTGGTCGTGCTGGGGCGTGGTCGTGCTGGGGCGTGGTCGTGCTGGGGCGTGGTCGTGCTGGGGCGTGGTCGTGCTGTGGTGAGGTCGTGCTGGGGTGTGGTCGTGCTGGGGTGTGGTCTTGCTGGGGTAGGGTCGTGCTGGGGTCGGGTCGTGCTGGGGTGTGGTCGTGCTGGGGTATGGTCGTGCTGGGGTGGGGTCGTGCTGGGGTGGGGTCGTGCTGGGGTCTGGTCGTGCTGGGGTGTGGTCGTGCTGGGGTATGGTCGTGCTAGGGTGGGGTCGTGCATTTCGCTCGAGACATCCTGCCAAAATTCCAGGAAATCGTACAAAAACAAACGAATTAGTCGAGACATCATCGAAATTCCTTCGCGCGGGGCGCTTTTCCGCGTCGCGGTCGGCTCTGCAAAACAAGCGTTTCGCTCGAGACATCCTCGGCAAACTCTGCGGAGCAAGCGTTTCGCTCGAGACATCCTCAACACACGAAAAAGTGGCCCGCACCCTGTGATTTATCGATCGGGATTTCAAAAACAAGCGTTTCGCTCGAGACATCCTCAAATTTTAATTCGCCGGCCTCCTTCGACCTCGTTATTTATCAGGGAAAAAATTCGCCGGCCTCCCTCAAGTTGGCACCGGGGGACAGGTTTACCTACTAAAAGAGAACCCTGGGCCGATGCCCTTTCCGGGAAAAAACGAGTCGTCGGTCTGGTTACGCAGGGTCAGAAGACACGCACCAGAGAAGTCCTTGCCGGATGCCTGAGAGCACCCTGAGCAAGCGCATGCAAAAAGGGCTCGGGGAGGTCGGTAGGTTCGTGCGGCGGCGACGCGAGCAAAAGTTTTTGACACCGCGCCGCTCGTTCAACCTTTAATCGATCGCGGCGCCGACCGTTCCATGCTGAATTTAGTCGGGTCCAGTGGCGTTAGCGTGTCCATCGGTGCGTCCGTGTCGCAGAATTCAACCTTCAAAGCCTTTTCTGGCGTCGCCCGCGCGCCATCGCCGCATGAACCTACCGTACCATCTTGCTGCTCTTGCGCATCGACGCTAATCGATTCTAAGTCGACGCTAATCGACGCTAGTCGACGCTAATCGACGCTAGTCGACGCTACTCGACGCTAGATCAGCTGCGTTGCCGGCGCGCGAATGCCGCAAGAACCTGCCACAGGGTGTGGAGCTGGGCCGCCAACCTCACGGAGGCTGCATGGGGGTCACCTGGGCCGAGACGCGGAGCGCTCGGGAGGGCTCGCAAGGGGGTGGCGCAAGGGTGGCGGCTTCCGAAGAAAGCAGCGGGGCTTCTACGAGGCTTTGGGGGCTTCTTGGAAGCCCGACCGGCCGATAAGACTTTGCGGCGCGCACAAGCGTCGGGGGGGGCGGGCGCGAGTGGAGGGCCTTCTACGAAGGCAACGGGGTTCGTAGAAGGCAAGGGAGCTTCTTGGGAGCTCGCCCAGCTTACAAGAACTGGCGGCGCGGATGAGGAGGTGGCGCGAGGGGGGTGGCTTTCCAAGAAGGCAGGGGGGGCTTCGTGGAAAGCAGGGGCTCTCTAAAAAGTCACTTGCCCTCTTAGAAGGCCCCCCCCCCCCGCGCTCTCCCCCCGCCCCCTTGTGCGCGCCTCCGAAGGCAGCCCTCTGAGCAGGCCTCCGTCTTCTCAAAGCCCCGCACCCTGTAGTAGAAACCCACCTCCCCTCGCGCCACCCCTGCGGGGCCGCCACCAAAGAGCCGAGGCCTCTCTCGCCGGCTGGCGCACCTCGCACACGCGCGCGCGGGCATATCAACACGAGCCCCCGGTGCCGTGCCGGCGGCGGCGCTCGGAGGGGCGGAGACGCAAGGAGCGCGACGGCCTTGGGAGCCCCATGTGTGGGCACCCGGGTCTGGCCGAGCTCGGCGCGTTCCCTCCCGAAGACGGCGGGGCTCGGCAGATGCCCGGCGCCCGAGGGACAACTTTTTCCGTCTGGACTCGCACGGAGTAGCGGTCGTCGCTCTCCCAATGCCGATCCCACTCTTTCGGCAGGCCGTGGTTTCCTGGCCGCGGATGGTGATCTTGCCCCGCACGCGTCCGCGTTAGCACATATTACCAACATGCGATTGCAACCAACAACTCCCCAGCCGCATCTAGGGGATTATTTTTTGTTTGAGGGCGCGCGGGGAGGAGAGGGGCACGGATAGGCACAGCTTGTCTGCCCTGGGCGCTGACGAGGGAGGGAACGGGGTCGTCGGCTCCTCCTCATCCTGTACCCGTCTCCAACCCTCTTCCTCTTCCTCCTCCTCCTCCTCCTCCTCCTCCTCCTCCTCCTCCTCGCCCTCCTCCCCTCCTCCACTCCCTCTTCGTCCTCGTCGGCGTACTGCTGCTGCTGCTGCTGCTGCTGATGCTGCTGCTGCTGCTGCTGCTCGTCCTCCTCCAGACAGTTCTTCTCCTCCCCACGCCCCTTCCTGCCGCTCCCCCGCCCCTCCCCCTCTCCCCCCTTGCCCCGCAGAAGGGCCCACAATCCCCAGGATCCCCCAGGGCTTGAGCTAAACTGTGTTCTTCGTTTTCGTTTTGTTGTCGTTTTCCTTCGTTCTGTCTTCGTTATGTCTCCCTGCGAAACCGAATCAAATCGAAAACGGTCCACGAAATCGCCAAACCACCGTTTTTAACTTGAACCCTGGGATCCCCTGGAGCCCTCCCTGGCCTCATCTAACACTCGGCGGTGGACAAACGTCCATGTAGTAAACCACCCTTTAGTGAAAACGGCCTCGGACCGAAACCGACGGCCGCGGGCCCGCAAAAACGACGGCCGCAACGCCCTCTCGCGAACCGAAAACGGCCAATTCGCTAATCGCCGTGTCAGGGTAGGAGGTCTATCAACCTCCGAAGCAGTTTTTCGTCGTCGTTCTCCTCCTCCTCCGCCTGACGCTGCGGGCCACTCGCGGTCCGTCCGCGCAGCCCCGCGGCGCCCGCGCGGCCGCGCGCGGACGCCACGAACTGCGCGCTCGGACGTGTGCCGTGCACGCACCGACGAAGAACACCGAACGCACACAGGCCGAGCATCGAGGCGCACAGACCGACGAGCGAGCGGCGAGCAAAAGCGAGGCGACCGATCTCCTCCTCCTCCGCCGCCTCCTCCTCCTCCTGCACCGGCGAGGGGCACGCAGAGCGCGGCACGGCTGTCCTGGGTAGTCGCGCCGCAGGCAGCTGAGCTGCCTCCGCCGGGGCGCTCCGGTGAGCGGGGCGCCACTGAGGACTCGGTTCGGCGGTGGGCAAGCCTCCCTTTAGTAAACCTCCCTTTCGTGAAAGCGGCCTGCGACCGAAACCGACGGACCTGGACCCGCAAAAATAACGGCCGTGACGCCCTCTCGCGAACCGAAAACGGCCAATTCCTTAATCGACGTATCAGGGTAGGAGGTCTATCAACCTCCGATCTGTGGCGACAGGCGGTGCGAGAGGAATAACGAAACAGATGCTTGGGGACTTTTTTTTAGGGTCGGGCGATAACCCGGGTTATCGGGCTTGCCCCCTCCCCCCCCCCAGGATAACCTAACCTTGCCGGTTGTGCAGGTCCGCGGGAGGGGGGGCGCGGGCATATGCAGGGCTGCCCACAGCGCGAGGGTTAGGTTATCGGCCGGCCCCCTGCCCCCCCCCCCGGGATAACCCGGGTTATCGCCGATTCAAAAAAACGGTCTCTTGTAAGGTCGCAAGTCATAGCTGAGGGTGCAAGGCACCAGTGCCACGTGGAATTATTTGTGGCGGCGTCGGGCCATCCAGTATAGGAGCGTGCACGGCGAAAGATGGGCCGGGAACGCCAGCATGCAAGAACCGCCTTTTGGCAAACCGCGGAGCCCTGTTTTTCGATGATGACTGCAAGCAGGTCTTATGGACGTATTTGTATACACATGCACATTCTATTTTATTTCGGTTTCGGTCGGCTTTACCTCCGTCGCTCTCTCTCTCTCTCGCTCTCTCTCTCTCTCTCTCGCTCTCTCTCTCTCTCTCTCTATGTATACACCCTGCGACATGCTTAAGAAATCATGTGTTAAGAAATTCATAGTCTCAGATCTTGAATAAAAACCCAACATTTCTACTAAAAACTTAGGATTTACACTGAAACGTTAAGAATAATCGAGACTCTGGCCGAAAACTTAAGTATTCTTAAGCATCGCCTAAGGTGTATATGTCTATATCTGTGTGCCTCTGGAGAGATGGCCGAACGATTTCACGATGTCCCCAGATGCGTGGCTGAAATGCGGCTCCTCAGTGCGGATTCATGCTGACGCGAGTTCGTGTCGTGTCCACCCCGGCGTGGGTTCCTGACACCGCGGGTATCGTTCAACTCTGGTCGATCGGCCGTCCCCGAAACCTCCTGATCTTCAACATCGACCGATTCTGGGTCGCCAGTGGCGTTCCAGGCTGAGCACCAGCAGCGGGGTCGCCGGCGGCCGACACTACGCGAAACTACTATGTACTCCCTGTTGCCAGCCCTGCCCCACGACCCACCCGCGCCCCGCCCCCTCCCACCGCCCACGCCCTTCTCCTGCGGCCTGCCCCCGCCGGCCTGCCCTGCGACCCGCGCACGACCCGTCCCGCAGCCCGCCCGCGAACTGCGGCGCGGTTCGCCTGCCGACCCGCCGAGATCCGTCTGGGAGTCCCACGCGCACGCCACGGCTTTTGGAAACGCCTGCGCCCGTGGCGGGCCTCGGAACATGTGCTCCAGCCCTCGCAGGCTGCCCACGACCCCCCCCCCCCCCACACTTGGGCGCCCGAGTTATCCGGGGTAACTCGGGTCCGGGGTAACTCGGGTTCGGATTCCCGAAAAAGGAACCCGAGTTATCCCTGACCCGAGTTACCCCTGATGATTCGGGGCTCTGCCACACTCCCACCCGCAACTGCGGGGACTGAGGTACCGTGCACGCGTGTGCATTCGGCCTCCAGCGTTCTCCTTGGGGCAGACCGCCCGCGCCCGGGCGCCGGCCTGCGCTCCCAGTGCGCGCACCCTCGGGCGAGGAGCTGGCGATGACGTCCGAAGCGCTGTGGCGGACCAGGTGCGCAGGCATGTCCATAAGGGGGGTATAGAGGCCGACGCAGCAGGCGCGAGGCCGAGGAGAGGAAAAGGAGAAGGCCAAAGGTTGCGAAGGCGGGGGGGGGACAGTGATGACGTCTCGATTTCCAGCGGCTGTGAGAAGCGGGAGCTGGAGACACCACGGTCTCCTCCCTCTGAGCTCCCCACGCCTGGCGGAAATCCGCGTGCTCAAAACATAGAAATAGGTCGGGCATCTCCGACTACTGGCTGATTTTGGAAGGCAAATCAAACACAGTCCCAAGATAATCAAAACAACATCAAAAGAACACGAGCAATCGTTACCAGACATTGTTTTTCGACTATGTTTGAACATTCTTCCTGTATAGGGACATGCCCGACTTCAACATTGAAACAATATCCCGACGAGGATGGAACTCGGCTGGCTTGGCCGCCGGCACCCGTTACCGCTGCCGGCGAGGCCTTGCCCTCGACATCAAAGGGCGGTGGATACTGACACTCTCCCATCCCCTGTGGGAGGGAAGATAACCACGTCGTCTGAGTCGCGGGATTCGGGGGCAAGACCCCGCAGCAGTGTACATGAGCATGCACTGTCTCTTGATGGAGGAGGAGGATGAGGAGGAGGAGGAGCGAGCGTCCATGTGGAGGAGGAGGAGAAGAAGGAGGAGGAGGAGGAGGAGGGATGGGGGTAGGAGGAGCCCGCCGACGAGGAAGTGCAGGAGACAAAACAAATGCAAGCACCAGCACAATCCCACCTCCTGTTACCCCTCCTCTCCTCGGGAAGGATGGCGGAGGGAGGGAAAGGCGGATGTGACACCTCCCGCTTCCCCTTCCCCTCTTCTCTCCCAGTGGTGCGCCAGCAGCGTATTGCTTCATCGATGGCAGCTTCCCCACCCTCTCTCCCCTATAACTGCAAGCGCGCTCACACACACACACACACACACACACACACACACACACACACACACACACACACACACACACACACACACACACACACACACACACGCGCACACGCGCACACGCGCACACGCGCACGCCCGCACGCACGCACGCACGCACGCACGCACGCACGCACGCACGCACGCACGCACGCACACACACACACACAACACACAACACACACACACACACACACAAAAAGCAGGCCCATTTGGGGGCTACAACCGGCACAGTTTTCTTCAAAACGATGAGCATGTTGTTCACACCCCTTCAGTGCCCGTGCGCTCGCCGTCGCCCGCTCGGTGCCAGAATCGTCAGCGACACTGCTAGCCACATCGAGCTGGGGGACTCGGGTCGCAGAAGTATACGAGGGCGGGACATTCAGCACTGCGCTGCACTTCTAGTTCCCCAATGCTGCCGCGCCCTATGCGCTCTCAGCCGCACGGCACCCGCCAAGTGGGAGACGGAGCGGGGAAGGGCGGTCCTGTACTGCTTCCGGAAGTCCAGGCCCCACTGCGAGATGCAGTGGGCCTCGTCCAGCACGAAGTAGCGTAGGCACCTCCCACGATCGTCCCCCGCCCCCCTTTTAATCGGCGGCGAGCGAGGGGGAGGAATGAGAAGGAGAATGCCTTCTCAGAAGGCGGCAGGACTTCTCAGAAGCCTCCCGGCCTTCTGACAAGTTTCCTGCGAGTTCGGGAAAACACTTAGAGACAACTTCTCAGAAGGCAGGGGTACTCCCGAGCCCTCTGAGAAAGCCCGCCCCTTTCCACTCCTCCCCCCCAGGCTCACCGCCGACTTCCGAGGAAGAGGAGGAAGGAGGGGAACTTATACTCGCCATCGCTCGGACGTCGATTTCCCGTGCATTTGTCGATTTCGTGCGCGTATTTTCCGCTGAATGATCAAAGATGCTCCTCGATGGTCCTCGCCGAGAAAAAAGTGCTCACGTCCGAGCGATACCAAGTATAGGACAGGAGGAAGGAGGACGAGGGAGCACCGTATGTGTTTTCTTTTAGTGGGTTTGTGGAAAGGGGCAGGAAGCCCCGGGACGCAGCAGGACACAAAAAAGTACCCCTGCCGACTGCCACCCTCCCCTGACTCCTCGCACTCCTTCCTGCCCCCCCCCCTGCGCCTGATCCTGCCAGGTCCGCTCTTTCTTCGCCTCCGCTAGGGCCTCCTCCTCCACTCCTCTCCCTCCCTATCTCCATCACTCTCTCTCTCTCTCTATATATATATATATATATATATATCCCTCTCTCTATATATATCCTTATCTATATGTATCAGGGTATCTCCCTAGTTTTGTGTAGCATGATATACACACGCACGTATATACACACACACACCTCACATTTCTATCTCTATATGTACACATAGAAATGAGTGAGTACCTCTCTCTCTCTCTCTCCCCTCCTTATCTCACGATGTATGTATATACGGATATATACATCTCTCTCTATATATACATATATATATATATCTCCCTCCCTCTCTGTCTCTGTCCCTCCCTCACTCCCTTTCCGTACCTCAACGTATTCCTCTATCTCCCTCCCTCTACCACCCTCTCTCCCTCACTCCTTCTCTCCCTCTGTGTCTGTCTGTACGCGTCTCCCTCTCTCTCTCTCTCGCGCTGTTCTTTTTTCCTCTCTCTCTCTCTCTCCCTCTCACACTCGTTCTCTGTTTCCCTGTATTTCTGTCTTTCACCTAGTCATTCTAATGGCACCCGACCCAAATCCCACCAACGTCCAGGTGGGCGCAGGTGGCGGGTTCGCGAGTTATTCATTCAACCGGCCTGTTCCCCTTCAGAGGGGGAGGTTCACCTCTCCCCCTACCCCCTCTCCATGGGTCTGGACCACCCTCCCTCCACACGGGCTTCGAGCGTCCACGATGGCCCAAGATCGCTCCAGCATGGCCCCATATAGCCACACACACAACCTCCACCAGGTTCAAGCTTCCCATCGTGGCTCAAGATCGCTTCCACCATTCCGCCAGGAAGCCCCGATAACGCCGCAAGATGGCTTCCAGTGCCGTCGGAGTCTCGCAGGGCTCCTCCCCCGAATGCCAAAGCCCTACAGACCCGAATGGACATTTAGCTGGTTCGTAGGCTCGCCTGCTCGCTTCCGATGGGCTCCGTTGCCCAAGAAGAGAGCCCAGGAGGCCCAGGAGGGCTCAAAACAGCTCCCAGAGCAACCAAGAGCGCCCTAAGAGGGCCACCTGAGAGGCTATGCTTCCGCCTCCGATGGGAGGGCCACAATTGGAACCCCCGGCCCCCTTTTGTGGATCGACTGCCTCCCACATGTCCCCAAAGGGAGCCCCTGAGGCCCCAAGATGGCTTCGCTGCCCCCCCCCTTCCCCCCCCCAGGGCTCCTTTTTGCTTCACCGTATGCTGACCTGCGCCTCTCCTGCAAACGACCCCTTGGCATCGTTCCTGGATGGGCTGGTGGCGATACGTGAACCGTCAGAGCCATCCATCGATCTCTCGTTCACACAATCTCCGCACCTATCGGCAATCGGAGGTTGGGGGGTGAGATCGCAGTGTAACGGAGTCCCCCCGCCGGGAAATCGAGTTTCGAGTTCGTGCTCGTGCCGTGCGTGCGGGCGAGGCGAAGCTGCGTGGGCCAGCGAGAGGAATTCACTCTGCTGTCGCTAGGGGTCCGCCAACACAAATGTTTCCCCCCCGGCCTTGTCAAGCGGTCGCCCACGTTGTCCCGTCGGTTGCCCGTCTCCCAAGCGAAGGAACAAACAAAATCCGCCACGTCATCCACACCATCATCGCCCATCAGCACCACGTTCATCACAGTTGTCGTCATGAGCCACCCCCTCCCCCCACCCCCCCACAACCTCCTTATCACCCGCAGGGTGGTCGTATAGGTACCATCGGTATATCGATCAAACTAGATGTCTTCAGACGGGACGGCGGTGGGACGATCACGGAACAACAACAAGATAACCACGGGCAACCACTCGACAACGATGCGACAACCACGGGACAACAATAGGACATCCACGGGACAACCGCGGGACAACCGCGGGACAACCGCGGGACAACCGCGGGGCAATCACGGGGCAACCACGGGACAACCACGAGACAACCACAGGATAATCACGGCACAACCGCAAGACAATCATAACACAACTACGGGAAAACCCCTTCGCGACCACGGGACAACCACGGTACGACCACAACGCAACCACGGGACAACTCCTCGCCCTCCTCAAGCTCCTCCTCCCTCACCTGCCGCGCGCCTCTCGCCGTGCTTCTGCCGCAGCGCGCGGGTGAGCCTGTGGCAATTCTCGCTGGAATAGACCATCCGCTCCGGGGACACGTAGAGGAGGGACAGGTTGCCGGCCTCCCGGGGTTAACCCACTGACAATGCTCGCGGACTCTCCGATCCTCCCCGCCGCATCAGGTTGGCATGGGCAGGGGCGCAAGCAAGAGATTGCCGACCCTCCCCCTGCATTGGAGGAACGGAAAAGAAACAGCACCACCAGCATGTCTGCCGACCCAGTCGGCATGTGCGAGAGGCTCGTCGGCGCGAGGCCAGCCCAACCAAAACTGAAGTACACTAGCCTCCTTAGGAATCGACGCCGTCGAAAGGGAGATCGAACAAACAAAGGGGATCGGACAATGTCGTAATTACGTCGATGGGACGCCTCATCCCTTTGTCCCTTCCCCGCGGGGGGGAGGGGGCTGCTTTCTGTGGCTCTTCGTGTCGCCACGCGCTATTGGATATTCTCTGGTTGACTGCTTGAGTGCAAGACTGCTGTCCCTGGTCTGCTTGGCTTGCCAGGGCTCCGGGGGCGGACCAGGGGGGGGGGTCCCCGGGGGAGGCTAGTGCGAGAATCACCGACGAAGCCATCGGGACCTGCCTGCAACAACACCTGGAGAGCCAGATCGGCCACGACAGAAACGGAGGAGGAGGAGGAGGAGGAGGAGGAGGAGGAGGAGGAGGAGGAGGAGAAGGAAGGTCGTCCTTGGTGTCATCTGATTGATCTGGGGCCCCTTCCAGTCGTCCCTTGCCATGGCCACCATCCCCTGTTTCTAACTGAAAAACGCACTCGGGTCCCTGAGGGAGGGAGGGAGGGAGGGAGGGAGGGAGGGGGGAGGGAGGGAGGGGGAGGGAGGGGAGGGGGGAGGGAGGGAGGAGGAGGAGGAGGAGGAGGAGGAGGAGGAGGAGGAGGAGGAGGAGGAGGAGGGGGTGCCACCGTGAGGTTGTGCGCTGTGGGAGGGCCCGTGGGGAACGAACGGGCCCTCCTCCCTCGACTCGCTCGGGCCACGACCTCGGGGGGCCCGGGCCGCCGATGCCCGGGCCCTCCAGAAGAGGAGCTCTCGAGAAGGCGCAGTCGAAGGATAACGCCCCTGGGCCCAGAAACGAAGGATTGCAGGATTGCAAAAAAACCTTCGAAGGAAGGATTGCAAAAAAACCTTCGAAGGAAGGGTTTTTTTGCAATCCTTCGAAGGGTTTTTTGCAATCCTATGCTCCCCGCAGAGATCACCTGAGATCCTCCGCGCCAGACCGAGCAGTGAGGGTCCCGGGGCCCGAAGCAGAGCAGCCTCGCCTGGTGTCTGAAAAAAATGCGACGCCAGGATCTCGGGGCCCGGGACCGTTGGAAACCTCGGGGAGGAGGCGAGGAAGGTCAGCAACAGGCGGAGGCCTCGAGGTCGGCACCGAGCCGTCTTTCACCCCGGGTCGGCTTTCGACGGTCCCAGGGGCGAGGAGACGGCCTCCCCAGGCAGCACGCGGCGAACACCTGGCTGTCACATTTTGGTTGGCAACGCCCGGGTCTCAGGGGAGCTCCGCAAACGTTTTTCGGCGGTGGACAAACCTCCCTTTAGTAAGCCTCCCTTTAGTGAAAGCGGCCTGGGACCGAAACCGACGGACCTGGACCCGCAAAAATGACGGCCGCGACGCCCTCTCGCGAACCGAAAACGGCCAATTCCTCAATCGACGTGTCAGGGTAGGAGGTCTGTCCGCCCCCGAGTTTTGCAGAACCTGAAGGGGTGGAAGGAGGGTCAGCAGCAGTCTGGGGCCTCGAGGTCGGCGAGCACCTGGGCCTCCTCCGCCTTGGACGTGTCACTGCCCAGCCTCGCGGCCTTCACCGCGCGCGTCTGCAGGGCTTGCACCTGCGGGGGGGCCTGCGCCTCCAAACGGGCCGAGGAGGAGGACAACGTCGACCGGAGCAGCGGCACTTCGCGCTAAGTGGCGTGCCCACTTAACGATCGGACTGTTTCGCGTTTGGCGTGTGAGAACAAAACGGGAAGCATCGATCGTTAAGTGAAGCTGCCGACGTCCACAGATATGCTCGCGTCGTGACGAAAGACGACGGGCAGCTCTTTGCAATTCCCGGCCTCTGGGGGCCCTCGCGGGGCCCCGGGGCAGCCACAAGACGGCTCGGGATGAGGAGCCGGCTCGTGGTTGGGCGTCGCTTAATGGGGGGATGATGCACCGGGGGGGGAGAACGGCGCACTGCTAGGGCCCCGAAGGACCCTTTTCTGCAGCCCTCGCTGCCCCCCAGTTTATCACCCCCCATTACCCATCGGTCGGAAGAAGCAGATAGAAGAATGAAGTAGGAAGGCGTTGGAAGTAGATTGGGTTTGCGCCCTCCCCCTCAAGAGGGAAGAGGGACAACCACTCGACTCTTGAAGCAGGAAGGCGGATAAGAGTAGATTGGGATCTGGGAACCCAGAAATACCTACCTTCAACGACCGGCGTGTAATGTGGGGGGCGATAAATTGGATGGGAAGACAGGTGCAATTCCCGTTTTCTACAAGTCCCCTTGTGGGCCCCGAAAGGCCGGTCGAGGGGCCCTTGAAGGCTTCTTTTTTGCAGCCCTCGCTGCCACCACATTTACACGTCGGCTGGAAGAAATTAGAAAGATTAAGTAGATGGGGCCCAGGCCAATCAGAGAATAGCAAAACACAGCAAAAGCAGATCGAATCTTGAAATAAGAAGGTGCCGAACACATCTATATATATATATATATATACATATATATATATATAGGAATCCCGGAATCCCAAACTGCTGACGCTCAACGACCGACGAGTCTCGCCCCCCATTACGCGACGCCCAACTCGGGAAAGGGTCGGGACTTCTGTCGGCAGCGAGCGCGGGGGGGGAAGTGAAAAGGAGCGGGCCTTCTCAGAAGGCTCGGAGGTCCCCTGGCCTTCTGTGAAGTCTTCTAAGCCTTCCCCGAAGACACAAACAACTTCTGAAACGGCGCGAGGGCTTCTGAGAAGTCCCGCCGCCTTCTGAGAAGGCCTTCTCCCTCTCCCTTCCCCCCCTCGCTCGCCGCCGAAACCTCGGGGAGAGGGCCGGGACTTCTGGAGACCCCCCGCTGGGAACGCAGCGAGACGTCGGATGCCCACACCTGCGGGGCCTGCACCGCGGGTGAGGGGGGGGAGGCCGCGCCTCCAGACCAGCGGAGGAGCGAGGAGGAGGAGGAGGAGGAGGAGGAGGAGGAGGAGCGAGGAGCGAGGAGGAGCGAGGAGGAGCGAGGAGGAGCGAGGAGGAGGAGGAGGAGGAGGAGCGAGGAGCGAGGAGGAGGAGGAGGACGACGACGTCGGCCAGAGCACTCCAGAACCTCCAAGGATCGCAGATCGTTGCGAACCAATCTGTGTCGGTCGCGATCGGTAGCGACCGATCGGCACTCCAGATCGGTCGCGACCGATCGCGACCGATCCCAGGACCGGTCGCGACTGGTCGCGACTGGTCACCACTGATCGCGACCGATTTTGAAGCCAATCGATCGCGACCGATATTGCAATTTGAAGCAACATCGGTGACTGGAAAATTCCAATATCCAGTGATCAGAGATGGGGGTGAATGACAGGGGGAACCGGCCCATGAACTTTACAGAAAGTCTTTGTCACATACGTCTCCACTTGGCCCTTGACACCTGTCGGATGTGATGTCGCCGCCCTCATCCGCCTGGTCTCCTCCCCACCCATGTCCTGCCAGTTCGTACTTCTTGCCCTCCTCCCCCTGCTACTGTTCCTCCTCCAACTCGTCCTCGTCCTTCTGCATTTCCTCCCCGTCCTTGTCATCCTCACTCCCTCCCTGAGCGACGCCCTCAGAAGCCGAACACATGCGAAGCAAAGGCACTACACTATGTTTTGGCTCCTGGTGTGTTTCGGCTCAAGGTGGCCTCGGCAAAACTTCCGAGAGCTATGAGCCACCGAGGCGATCCAGGACTGCTCCAACATGGGCTCAAGGCGGTCCAACCACCCGCCCGGATGCAACCAAGATGGTCCAGCCGCGCCTCCTCAGGAGACCCTGGCCCTCCAGCAGCCCCCAAGAGGCCCCCAAGAGGTCCCGAAGAAGCCTCCCAACGCCCCGAAGACGCGACGCAACAATTGTGCGACGTCACGAACAACTACATCTGCGAACAGCACCGGGATGATTCTACCAAGCATGTCAAGACAAATCGTAGGAGCCTTCCTGCGTGCATTTCAATGCTGGGCTGGCTCAGTGGCGCGTCTTGTTCGTCGTGCTGCTGGCTGAGAGGGGGAGGGGGAGGCGGGGGAGGGGCAGAAGGGGGGGGGAATCGGATGAGGAAGGGGCATTTTAGGAAGTGTTAGGTGGTTCACACGGGTTTTCAACAGTCCCGGGGGATTTGGGGTGGTTCTGGGGGGAGGAGCATAAGGATGATGAGGATGCAGAGAAGGAAGAGGATGAGTAGCAGGAAAGGGAAAGGAGCAGGAGGAGAGAGACGGAGAGGAGCAAGATGACAGGAGAGGTTGGGGCTACCATTTGAGGGATGCGAAGGAGGAGGGCGAAGGAGGAGGAGGATGAGGTTTGGCGTGCCAAGGAGTGCAGAAAGTATCCAAACTACAATGCTGAGGCCGCCCCGCCGATCTTTCTGGGCGCGATGTCTGGGCACTCCCCCGCTGCTCCCACGAAGCCGAGGGTAAGGCACTGAAGCATGACAGGGCGGAAGACTGGAGCACCAGGGGTGGGACCACGGGGGTGAAGGGTGGGTCGAGTCCCCCCGACCCCGCTGCTCCTGATCCGTTTTCAGCTTCGCAAACGCTGCTTTCAACAAACGTGGGATGGCGCAGCTCGAGATCTATAGTGACACGCGCGGCAAAGAGGAAGGGACGACCTGATCTTGCATGAGGCTCAGCAGCGGTGACACCACTACAGCGACTCCCGTCTGGAGGAGAATCGGCAACTGGTAGCACAGAGACTTCCCCGCGCCGGTCGGCATCACGGTGAAGACGTCCTCATGGGTAGTCTCAACCCCGCAGACCCGAGTCTTCGGAACTACAGACGGAAGTTTGTGAAGGTGCGCGGGGGATTCGTTTCAGTCTCTGTCGCTATATTTCCCCCAACCTGGGCCATGCCTGTGTGCTCATGCCTGTGCTGGGAAAACGGCCCATGTTCGCGCCGATGTGCCATGCAATGCAACGTTATGCCAACGTATGCTATGGTATGTCGTGGAAGGCTACGCAATCCATGCTTGGCGGCTCTGATCTGACGTGACACTGCGTTGGTATGGTAATGATATGCTGTGCCATTGCTGCGCAGTGCTGTGCCAAGACGCTGCCATGCCATGCTATGCAATCTGATGCGTTGACGTCCACATGTTATGCTACACCATGCTAGGCGACGCCAGGCTATACAACACCATGCAATGCTGGGCTGTTGCTGGGCGGCGATGCTATGTAATGGTAAACTGTGCGATCCCGTACTGCTCAAATGCAATACCATGTTATGCCAATGCTAGGCCGTGCGATTCGGTGATCAGAGTGAGGGGGTCGAACGGTCGATCACTGTCCCCGGGCGCGTGGCTAAAATGAAAATTGCGGTGGGAATTGTTGTTGCTGTTGCGTGTTGTTGGCTCTTTGTTGCTATTTGTTTGTTGTCTGTCCCCCCCGCGACCCGGCCCACGACCCGCCCGCGACCCGGCCCGCGACCCATCCGCGAACCCCCCTTACCCACCCGCGACCCACCCCGCGACCCACCCCGCAACCCACCCGCGACCCACCCCACGACCCACCCTGCGACCCACCCGCGACTCACCCGCGACCGACCTGCGAGCCACTCGCGACCCACCTTGCGACCCACCCGCATTGCTTTAACGAGAAACCGGCGCCTGCGACGGGCTCGTTGTACACTTTCTAAACATTAAGCGCCTGCGGCGGGCTTCTTCAGAGCCTCGCAAACTGCCGCCGCCCCCGCTGCCCCCTCACAGTTATCCGCAACTGCGGGGTGCTACGTATGTTGTGCCACGCGGTGCTCGAGTCTGCGGTGTTCTGCTACCAGGTACTGTGCTGCGATGTGAACGCAATGCGATGCTGCACGAATGCTATGTCAATGCCAATGCCATGTGATGGCAATGCTTATATCGACCACATATGGGGTCGCGCCGTGTTTTTGTTGTTGGTGTTCTTTCGGGGGGGGAGGCGGGGGCATCGCCGGTCAAAACAATCCAGAATGACAATCGGTTGGATCGGGCTGTTGACGGACCTTGCTTACCTCCATTACAAACCAGCCTCCGTGCACGTGGGGCTGCGGCAATAGCAAAGGCAGCGTAGCACGGTCGCCCGTCGCAGCTACCCGTCGCGCTCGCCCGGGTCTCGGCGCTACAGCTGCTGTGTAGCAGGCCAGGCGGCAGGAGCGTGGCTGTAGCTGATGTCCTTCGGCTCCAGCCTCGCCACCGACGGCTCGCTGAGCAACGCCAGTGCGGGCTGCCGCTGCTCGCGACTGCCGCACTCGCTGAAATGAGGGGCTGGGGTGAGGGGCTGCAGATGGGGCAGAGGTCTCCCTCAGCTCGTCGAGCAGAAGCAGCAGCGCTACACTGTCTCGCACGCTCCGAACCCCAGCGCCGTAACCAACCAGGGCTGAGCCGTCGACTACGGTCGACCGACGCCTGTTCGCTCGCTGCCGCGTGCTGATGGTAGGCGTTTCTTGATGATCAGAGTGGGGGGGCCGAACGGTCATTCACTGTCCCTGGGCGCGTGGCTGAAATGAGGTTCTGCGGTGGGGATTGTTGTTGCTGTTGTTGGTTGTTTGTCGATTGTTGTTTGCTGTCGTCGTCCCCCCCGCGACCCAACCCGCGACCCGCCCGTACCCACCCGCGACCCATCCCGCGACCCACCCCGCAACCCACAGCCCGCGACCCACTCGCGAGCCACCCCGCGACCCACCCGCGACCCATTCGCGACCCACCCGCGACCCACCCCACGACCCACCCGCGACACAGACCGCGACCCAGCCGCGACACAGCCGCGACCCAGCCGCGACCCACCCCGCGACCCATCGACATTGCTTTAACGAAACAAAAATCGGCGCCTGCGGCGGGCTCGTTGTACACTTTCTACAAGTCAAGCGCCTGCGGCGGGATTCTTCAGAACCTCGCGAACTGCCGACGCCCCCGCCGCCCCCTCGCTCTTATCCGCAACTCAGGGGGGCAACGTATTTGCGTTATGCTGCTTGTTGCTTCGGGTGTTGGTACGTGTGGCTTCTGATGCGGCGAGGGGCTGATTCGTGCTGCTACTTGGTTACTGCTGATTCTTGGTGTCTGCTGCTGCGTGCTGCTGCTGGCTGCTGCTGCGTGCTGCTGCCAATGCTTGCCGCTGCCGCTTGCTGTTGGTGCTTGAGGCTGCAGTGTGCTGCCGATTGCTAGTTTTGTCCTTGCTGCGTACAGCTATGTGCTACTGCAGGCTGCTCCTACCTGCTGCATGTTCTTGCTCGTGCTGCGTGCTGCCGTCGTGGATCCTGGTGCAAGCATTGTCGGTCTCGCGGGGACCTGCATTTAGGGCTTTCTTGGGCTTCCTGCTGCAGATTGCTGGTGCTTGCCTCTGTTGGCTGCTGCTGCTGCTGCTGCTGGATATGGTGCTGCTAGCTCTGCCCGCTGCGTACTTCTATTAGTAATTAGCTCGTGCCAGCCTCTCTGAAGCCTGCGGGGGCTGGGAGTCTGGTGGGACTCTCTTGGGCCTCCTGCTGCAGATTGTTGCTGCTGCTCGCCGCTCTTGGCTGCTGCTGGCTGCGCTGCTGTTGCCTCTGCTGCTTGCGTGATGCCGCCGTCGGCTCGTGCTGCCATGGTGTGCTCCGGGGGCCCTCTCGGGCGGCTTCCGGGGCGTCCTCGGGCTCTCTCGGGGCCCTCCTCCCCGGGGCTCCACGGGGCCATCCTGGGATCCCCTGGGGCGTGGCGGGGCTGCCCCGGGGCCGTCTCTCGGAGGCGTCCTGCGGCGCCCCGCGGGGGGCACGGCCTCGGGCCAGGTAGGGGGCGCACCGCTCGCAGCTCTGCGATGGAGGGGCGCTCGTCGTTCGGCGCGTGAGCTGCCGGGGGGGGCGTAAGCCCCAGAGGAAGAGGAGCACGCGGCCGACCCGCGACGCCTGCGGAGTGGCCCCCCTCCTTGCCGTCTGGACGATCTGCGCCGCACTTCTGGGACCTCTCAGACAAAGCCAGGACGAGGATAACATCGGGTGAAGATAAATCGAGAATCTCTGAGATCCGGCGGCCCTGGAGGATGTCTCGGGCGCCGCGGCCTTCGCAAAGCGTTCCGGAACGCTCTGAGACGTTCCGGGACGCTCTTGAACGGATTTGTCCTCGTCCTATCCCCGCCCGAACCTCCGAGGGGCTACCCGGGGTGGCGGAAGTCTCCGCGCCGTTCGGCGCGGGAGCTGCCGGGAGGGCGCGGGCCCGGAGCACGCGGCCGCCCCGCGATGCCTGCGGGGTGGCTTCTCGACCGCCGACGTCCGAAGCGGATACGCGGCACTGCGATCGCACAGCGGCTGGCTGATGATACCGCTGCGTGCCCCTCGGAGGACGAGCCGAGAAGGAGTCGGTGCTCCCCTGGTGCCTCTTGCGGAGGCCCAAGAGCGAAGCTGCTGCAGTGGAGCGGCAGCTCGGCCTGAGACATGGAGCAACAACGCCTACACTGGCCAGAGCTCTCAGACTCTGAGGAGGAGGTGGAGGAGGAGGAGGAGGAGGAGGAGACGGAAGACAAGCTAGGTGAGCTCGCGTCATATCTGATGTCCTACCCCTCCCTCCCATCCCTTACCATGGCGTAGATCTCCCCTCTATTCGCACAGTCGGATATCGAGCAGGGCAATGGTCGCGAGAGGGTACGCGATGCATGGCAGAGCACGGCATGGCACGGCGTAGAAGAGCACGGCAGAGCGCAGCATGCCATAGCATGGCGTGGCATTGCGCAGTGACGCATTGCATCACAAAACATTGCAACGCAAAACATGGCATCGCACAGCGGCGCAAAACACAACACCGCAAAGCATGTCATGGCATGGCGCAAGGTCCCTTGCAGGGTAAGTGGATCGTCTTCTAGAGGTCTGGGCCGGTCTAGAGTCGTGGCTCCATTTCTAGCTCCTTGGGCCCCCCGAGAAGCTCCACACAAGGCGGGGCTGATGGAGAACACCCGCTGGCTCTGCTTTCAACATCGCCTTCTCAGAACAGAAACGGGGCTCCCGCTTCCTGAAAGCAGCGACGACCCAAAGTGGAGGAGAGGGGCTTCTGCGGCCCAGAAAATCAACGAATCGATACCGACTGTGTAATACATTCCGATGCTTTCTTTTTCTGGGGGCCATTTTCTAGATTTTGGGGCCGATTTGGAAGGAACGAAAACGCCCGCGCTGCAGCGGGAGCACGATTTAGAACAATCAGAGGCGCAGAAATGCGGCCAGCGCTTCAGCGGGAATACGATGCGTAATAAAACAATGCGTGGAGGGGGGCCTCACGTCTTCCCGACGTCATCAGGGGAAAGAGGCGAGTAGTACCCATATTGTGTAATTGTGAAGGATCCACGCTGGCCATCCCATCTAAATCAGGAGGGGGCGGAGGAGTCGGACCCACGCCGTGGCGCGGGAGAAAGAGGAAAGGGCACAGGAGGGGAGGGGAAGGGGAGGAGGAGAAGGAGAAGAAGCGGGCGGACGACGGCGACGAAACGGGGAAGAAGGAAAGAACGGAGAAGGTGGCGGGCCTGCACGGCTTCCCACACGGAACGCTCAGCAAGGAACGACCCGCCCCTCTCTGGCCACAGAAAAAGCGCCCGGGCGCACGAGGCGCGCCCTAGGGCAACCGTGCAACAACGACCTGGGGACACGCGAGCCCCTGCCGCACCCGAACCGCTCCTCACAGTCAGGAGCCTTTACCAGGGCAGAACACGGCCTCCCCATCACCTGTCTTTTAAGACTCTGGTGAATCGAATCCTCCTTCGGCAATGCAGGTCAAAGACGGTCCAAAATGGGCCTGGAACAATCGAAGGAAACCCCAACACGGCCCAAGATGCCTCAAGACGGCGAAACAAACCTCCAAGACGCCCCAGCGACACGCCATGCCTTGCAAGCGGATCGCGTGCCGCTCCGCTGCCCGGCGGGGCGGGAAGCTGGAGCGAGCTCGGGACCTTGACGCTTTGGGGGCTGGGGCGTGGATAGCGTGCCGCGCCGAAGCGTGGAGGGACAGGACGGGCGGAGCGGCGCGCAGAGCAAACGTTCCTGATCGGAAGTCGGCGTCTTGGCCGTAGGGGCTGCCAGCGGGCCGCGCGCGCGCGTTCGGGCTCCTTCCCGCTGAGCAGGGCGTTGATCACCTCGGGTCCCGCCGACAGGCACCCCCTGGCAGGCCGCCGCCGATGGCGCAGGCCTTGCCAATGCGTCCGAATGGCACTGCCGCTACCATGTCTGCCCCCTAAGGCGCTCCAGCGGGAATTCTTCCGCGTACGCGCTTTCCCCGCAAATTGCGGCACAACCCTGACGCGAAGCATGCCGCATGGGAAGCCTCACCTGGCCCATCGGTTGTGCAGGCAAACCCTTCAAACGGAGCTTGCCTCTCAAGGAATTCCACCAATTGGCTTAGTGGAGGTGCTCGCACGGCGCTGCCGCCCCCATTTCGGCACACCCCTTGCGCAGATCGTCTCCTCATGGAGCTCCACTTCTTGCCCTTGCGGGCGTGACCACATATGTGCCCCGTCGATGTCAGCACTTTCCTCGCGAGGATCATGCCCCACAGGGAGTTCGGCGCCCTTCTGCGCAGCTCTTCGGCAGCCCCCAATCCTGACTGCCCTGCGGCTTGCATCGTAAACAGAAAATGTCATGCTCCACGCTACAAGCAACTGCATCTGGTTGGGCTCTTCGCAACGCTAACGATATCGATCGACGGCGTCATATTGTCATATTGTTTTACAACATAATGTAGATACGACGTGCTGTTTTCCATGCGACGTCCACCATCGATCGCAAGCATGCACATCTTCAGACATTGGCAATCAAGCCAGCACGCCCTATGCCTCCCCCCTGGCAGGGCGAGGAAAGGAAGGGAGGTAATGTGAAGGACGCAGGGGAAGAATGAGCATGAAGAGGAAACGCAACGGGAAACTTAGCAGGGTGAGAGAAGGGGGACAAACGCAAACAGCACGAGGTGGAAGAGTGAGGATGGACGAGGCGAATTAGTAGCACTGAAAAAGGTACGTACCGATGTTGACGGGAGGAGAAGGCATGAGTGGATTGAGGTTGGACGGTGATTTTGGATGGTGGACAGAGGAGGAATGAAGAATGGAGCATGGGCGAACTCAAGAGACGGGGGAGGCCTGGGCAAGGAAGAACGAGTAGGATGGAACGGGAGAGGCGGAAGGACTACGCAGAAGGGCAGGAGGAGGACAGAGGATTGACTATGCACACCAGGAAGATAGGCGGAAGGGCAATTGGGGAAGCAGGGAAGGACACCTCGTCCTCCTCAGCCTCCTCCCTCATTCTCACCTCTTCTGGTTCCTCGGCCTTGCACTGGCCGTCGTCCTCCTACTCCAATTCCTCGTGTACCGCATCCTTGAGACGCTCCCTCCTCTCCGGCTGCTTCTGCTGACCGGATGTGGGCGCGCAGAATGAGCAAGTAGACGCATGATTCCGATGGCATTTCTGGCCTTCTCTCTGTCAAGATGCTGGAACATGTTTCGGCTCATGCGTTCGATGGTTCCATGGCCACATCATCCGTTTCCACGACATTCCATGTACTCGAAATTGTAACCAAATCGTAGTCATACAGAAACGTAGCCGAATCGTAACCACAGTGCCATAGCGTAACTAAATCGTAGCCATATTTGAGATTCCCGTTACCAAGTCATAACCTAGTGACATTTTCGAGTCACATCCCGCGCAAACAAATCAAAACAATGCACGCCTCTCACGCCACATCGGCTCAACAAGACGGCGAGTAGGTTTCGCACGTGCAAGCCACAAACTATGACGACTAGGTTTCGCACGTGCACGCCAAAAACCATGGTAAACTACATCATTTGGGGCGCGTGATTTGGTTACGATGTCTTGTCTTCTGGGGATCTGCTTGTGCACCTTGTTGTTCCCCGAGTCCCTCCTCCCCCCCACCCTGCCAGCACGAGGGGGGCTGGGGCTCGCCGGGAGCTGCAGGCCCCGCAGGTCGTCGTGGCCCCAGTGCTGCCGGAGCAGCCGCTGCAGCTCGGGGACCCACGGGAAGGCGGCCGGGTCGGCCTGGGCCCAGTGCCTGCCGGGCCGCCGCTCCCCCACGAGGACGGTATTGAAAATGCCGGGGGTTATCGGGCGGGAGGGCGCCCATGTCATCCGCGACCGAAGATTATCGGTCGCGAGCGGTCGCCGCCAGTCCTGCCGGCTTTTCGGCCGCGGCGGAATTCTGAACCGATCCGCCGCGACCGGAAAGTGGGACCGACCGCGACCGAAATACTGTTCGCGACCGTTCGCGACGGGTCTTCGCGACAGAACTCTGGAATCCTCTGGAATCGGTCGCGACCGCTCGCGCCCGCAAACGGGGACCCAGCGCGAGAATACCGGTACCGAAATCCGCGACCGAGAATGTTCGGTCGCGGACGACCTGGGCGGGGGGGAGGTGCCTGCCGATAGCCTAGCCTTTTCGCTCTGGGCAGCCCCACGCATGCCCGCGCGCACTGGTACTGCGCACACCCTTTTGGACCTGCGCGACCCGCAAGGTCAAGTTATCCGGGGGGGGAGGGGGGGCGATAACCCAAGCTATCGCCGGACCCTTCAAAAACAGCCTCCAAGGGAAGAGTGAGGGAACCAAACACCCCTCGAGCCATGACAAGAATCACAACGGGACATGGTCGGCTCTGTTTGGCATCTTGAGACCTCTGGGGGTAGACGTTCTGAGAAAATCATGACGTCGGGGGTCTGGGGAGGAGGGAGGGGAAGTGAAAGGAGGAGGACGAGGCGAGGAAGGAGAAAGGCGGGGGAGGAAGGAGGAGGGAGGAGGGTGGAAGGTGCGAAGGAGGAATACAATCAAATTAAATCATGCGGATCTATTGTTAGGATGCAAAACCACTGGAACGCGCCGACATGACAAAAGACGCGCAGGCCTTCAACAACATCCAAGGACTCAAGGGACCAACAACCGAAGGATGCAAGGCGCCGTTGCGAACGGGGCCCGTACTTCACGCCAGCTTTGACTGTGGCAGGCATGGCGTGGGTGCCCTGCAGCTCAGCAGCGCCGCCAGTCGTGCAAGGGTTCCGAGGCGACTTTCAGAGGGCCCCTAGAGAGACTGTAGCAGACGCTCGCGCAAAGCTCCCGCGACCTCCTTGGCGCAGAGCGCTCGGACTGGCGCGAGACAGGGCACAATGCGCACCCTCGCGCGGCGTGAGCACCCCTGACCCGACTCCTGGCTCTCACTGCCTGCCCGTGGCAGCCCCGTGGCTGAGGGAACGGCGATGCTTTCCAAAGTCGGCTGTGCTTGTGGGGCGACGTCGCGCCACCTCCATGGGGCAGGAGTGGGCGTCGTGACGGGTGGGCGTTGTTTGGGGGGCCATGCTAGGTCGGTCGCCACGCACAAGGTACCGCCCACTGGCTGCGATGCCGCAGTCGCACCGCCTCGAGCAAATCATTGATGTGCTATGCTGCCTGGCGCAGCCTCCGTGAAGCCCAAGTGCGTTTGGCGGGAGCCGTGGAAGACCTGAGTTGAGATGTGAGGATTCGGAGCGAGATTCTGCAGTTTGTAAAACGCAGCGGTTTCTGAGTTTGCGGGACCTCCGCGAGTTGTGTTTGTTGTGGGTTTGTGTGCTTGCTGTTCTAGCTTGATCACTGCTTTGTCCGATGTTTGCGATATGTTGTTGCGTCGGGTACGCTTAGTCGAGGTCTCGGCTGGAAGGTCTGGGGCCTCGTTAAGGTTGCTGGCCGACGTCTGGGGATTAACTCTCAACGCTGCGACAAATCACTGGTGGGATTTTTATTGATCGGAGACGTGCGGCCTGGCTGAAGGTCAGAGGTTTCGGATCGACAGGATCGGTCTTGGCTGGAGAGTCTAAGGTGTGACGTCTGAAGTACGGGGTCGAGCGTTTACAGTCACCGTGATACTATATGGACCGCTGAGTTTGAAACAAAAGGGGCTACTATGGCCACGGAGAGAACCGATCGCGAATTTGTTCCCCGAGCTAGATCTGAGGAACCGTCCGGAAACCCGAGCCCGTAGTGAACTCAATCTGGCCCTTGTTTCCGCAACCTGACCGTCGGAGCCGATGGTCTGAGGTCTGCCGCGCCATCCACGCATGCGTAGGACCTGATCTTGGCATGCCCGCGCAAAGCTTGCGCGGGAATTCTACGGGGAATCCCTCGACAGTCTTCTCCAGACATGGACGAGGTCCTTCCAATTCGCCGGCCCAGCGGGCCAGAGGCGTGCTAAGATCTCCGTTAACTGCGTACAGTGCACGCCGGTCGGAAGAAGTGTGTTGAAGCATGAAGTAGGAAGGCGTTGGAAGTAAATTGGGCTTCCACCCGCCCCATGAAGAGGAGGAACTAAGGAACACCGCTTGACTCTTGAAGTAGGAAGGCGCTTAATCTCTCTCTCTATTTATTTATATATATATATATATATATATATATATATATTAGGATTTGGCATCAAAAAACACCTACTTTCAACGACCGGCTTGTACTTCTACTTCGCGCGCGCGCGGAGCGGCCCCTGGGGGTCTCTGGACGACAAGTTCCCCGGGCGGTGCCCGGCCGCTTCGGGTCAAAGAGATCCCCGGCCGGGTCGGGTCGGGTGGGCGCCGCTCCCGAGGCCCTCCAGAGAGCCCCAAGAAGGGCCCCAAGAGGCCCCCAAAGATAGAACAAGAGGGCGCCGAGATGCCACAAGATCGCTCCAGGATGCCCAAGATGGCCCCCAGACGCCCCGAGAGGCCTCCAAAAGCACCCCCGAGAGGGCCCCAAGAGGTAAAATTCCTTTTCGGGCCCTGGGGCCTCCCTTTCTGGGCCCTAAGGGGCCCCTTCAGGGACCCTCAAGGGCCCCTCTCTGCAGCCCTCGGTGCCCCCTGCCACCCCCCATTTATCGCCCCCTTCTTGCGCGACCTCCGAGGGATCCGGCGCGAGATGCCTCTGGGCGGAGGCAACAGTCTAGGCCTCCCCACACAGGCCCTAGACTTTCCTTTACGCCTGCTACTAGCAGGCGTAGACCAAAGTCTGGGGCGTGTGTGGGCCAGCCAAGTCTAGATTTGACTTTGGCCTCGTAGGCCCAAGTCAAGTCTCCCCCGTCGGCCCTCCACTTTTCTTTGCGCCTACCAGTCACGAGCTGGGGGAACCACCAGGATATCGATGCCGCTGCTCCCTGGAGCTCTCCTGGGACGCGTTCTGGCCAGGATTTCGAGGAGCCTCCAGTCGCGGCGACGTAGGCTCTCCAGGAAGCAGCTTGTCTTCAGATTCCGGTACGTTTGCTTGTAAGGAGCGGGGCATTTGGCGCTGAGGCTGCTACCAGCGGCGTCACAATGCATTGCCTAGACCCGACCGGCGTCCAGACCGTTACACACTCAGTATCAGACAGAGTGAGTGCCTGGACACGACCAGCGTCCAGACCATTACGCACACAAATGCAGAAAAAATGAGGTCCTGGACACGACCAGCGCCCAGACCGTTACGCTCTCAAATGAAAAAGTGTGACCACTAACAAATTAAATCAAAACTAGGGGGAGCCCCAGATGCCATTGAAGCTGCAGCTCCCTGGCTTCCCCCCTAGGCTCCGAACTGCACCAATCGACAGCCTTTTTTCGGATCGGCGAAACCGTGCAACGCTGCAACCCTGAACGTGTCTAGGGGCTTAGGGGCTTCCAGCCCGTAGGTGGCTCCGACAGGCGCCTCCCCTGAACCAGAATGAACTCTCAACTCCCCCACCCACTGGGCTCGGACATCTAACGACGGAGTGACGACCGATTCGAGCCTGGGGGGCGGGGATTTAGTTGAGTTCGGATGCGAGCCTCTCCGAAACCTGCTCCTTGTGTGGCGAACCTGGGGTGCGCATTCCCAATGCAGCTCGCGGCGAGACCCATCCCTGGCACCACAACCGGTGCAAAACAAAATTGGGGGCTCGCACGGGGAGCCATGCACCGAGGCCTGCGCGATCTCGTGCCTCTGAAAAAAACCAGGGCTCCAGCCGCCCACCTCGGGCCGGGCGAAAGGGGGGGATAGCAAAGGGGGGGGTTGAGAATCAGCTCACGTAGCTGATTTTCCCAGCGCCTCCCGGCGCCGGGAGGCGCCCATGTATCGAGGAATGGGCCCGGCGGCGGGGACGAAACCAGCTGCACGCAGCAGATTTCGTACCCCCCCCCTTTCCCTATCCCCCCCCTTTCGTTCGGCCCGACCACCGTCGCTCCCAGCGGCAGAGATCGACTCCGCCGCGGGGGCGTCGCCGGCCTCGGTTTCGGCCAAACCCGAGCCCTCTGCCCGCAGTGCCGTTCCCAGTCGCGATGGCCTCGACGGGGTCGAAGCGAGAGGGATCGAGCTCGAGGTCGAGCACGACGTCGGCCGTGCCACCGCCGCCATCTGAGTCTTCAAACCCAGACTGGTGGAGCCACTCATGGAGCTTGCCCTGCCGCGCAGCGGTGTCCTCTGCCCTGCGCTCGCAGGCCTCCACAACAACCTCCTGCTCTTCGGGGGCCCCCATCAAGCTGAGCACCCGTCTTGGCCCAGGCATCTGCGAGGCGAGTCCCCCGGAGCTCCCACAAGTCCTCCAGTGAGGTTGCGTCCTGGAGGGCACTGTGGGCATTGACCTTCACGACCGAGGCCGAAGCTCCGATTTCTCCGCACCAGAGCTTCCGAAAATGGCGCCGCTCGTTCCTAGGGTCGAGAGCTCTGGCGGAACTCCGAGCGCAGCTCACGGATCCAGCACAATCACTGAACACCTCAAGCGGCACACTTGAATTCCCGTCACATGGGGGCTCTGAGAATCGAGCCAGCATGTGAAAAGCATAATCTTCCCCGTCCCGCGCCCACTGCTCAGGCCCCCACACCCTCGGAACCACTCCATACATGCAGAATGCAAAACTGCCGGCCTGGTCCACCTGCACAGCAGACCAACCCGCGCGCCTGCAAGAACCTTTCTCGGTGCTGAAGGCGGATCCGTCCACGAAGATGGTCCCTCCCCAGCGCCACCCAGGAGGGGCGCCCACAAGCCTGAGCCAATGCTCCTCGGGAGCCTCCGGCCGGCTGAAACGCGCCTCCGGGGAGGTGAAAAGGCAACGCGAAAAGAGCTCAGTCTCGTCAGCGCCAAACTTGCGCACTCTGATGGCAACGACGCCGAGAGACTTAGGCATATCCGTGCGCCAGAAGCTGTCCGGGCACGGGCAGTCGAATCCCCTGTGGAAGAGCGTGCCTACACAACCGCACATTCTACACCGATCTGAGACGCACCGGCCGTGGCGGTGCAAACGCTCCTGCGACCAATGGGTCCCCGAAATCAGGCTATGAACAAGGTTCCTGGCGTGCTGGCTTAGTCCAGACGCGGACTTCCCGAACAAAACCTGATCAAGAGGCCTCCAATTCAGTTCAGAGCGCCAGCACTGGACTGGTATTTACTGACGGACACCAGATCGTTGGCAGCGACAGCCATGGCCTTCGCTGCCGCCACCGCTCGACCTGGAGAAAAGAACAGCAGGCCGACCATCTCGCCCGTCGGCCCTACCAGCTCCGTGGCTGACCGCATGCTGGCTCCAATCCTGGCTAGCACGATGTGGAGTACTTGGGCGGGATTACTGCACTGCCTCCAAGGAGCCCTCGACTCCAGGATGCCCCGGGACCGCTCCAGAACGGCTTCCAAGACCGATCGGGCAGGAAGCGAGGTCTCGACGCACATGGCCCACGCATGCACAACTCCTCCCACGTGGACCACTGCTTGATCCCTCCAGCAGGCTCTGTACAGCGAGCGCAGCCTCAGACCAAAATTCGCGCCTGCGGGAAGCCGGGCTTCCGAGCGAAGAGCGCCGACTCGTTGCCCATTGGAGCTTGTGGTCAGCCAGCCCTATGGCGGCTGAGCCCCAGACCGCAGTGGCGGTTGGGGAGCCGCGATGAATGCGCTCCACCGCCGCACCAGCTCCCCAGAGCACATGGACTCGCTTGGCCGCGCCATGCGCCTTGGCCAGCGCAGGCGCTCATCCTGCTCCGCGACGGACCGCTTGACGCCGCCGGAACCGTCGCCACCGAGGCATCGCACACTTCGGCTCCTCTCGATCTCGCTGGCCCAGGCGGCCTCGAGGAGGAGCAGGAGGAGGAGGAGGAGGAGCAGGAGGAGGAGGAGGAGGAGGAGGAGGAGGAGGAGGAGGGGCGCCAGGGAACAGCTAGAAAGAAGAATAATGGCCAGGACCTCCAGGGAGAGGTCGTGGCCCTGGCCATAATCATCCCCCGTGGTCCTCAGCCCCCTCGTGGCCGCTCCAGAGATCCTCTGACCCCCTCTGCTCGGACCTTCTCTGGGAGGCCTTGAAGAGCGCGGGCGGACTCGTGGGCGAACAAACATATCCGTTTCCGTGGCCTCGCGGGCCGGGCCCCTGAGCCGACACCCCGCGGACACGGGGCATCTTTTTGAGGAGGCCCCGCGCGAAAAGTATATCCGTGCGACCGCGTCATTACCCGCAAGATCGCGCCCTGGAATCCAAACCGCGAGGGCGCGGATACGGATACAGCCATCGTGCGACCATGAGGAGCGCAGAATAAGGAACTAAAGGGCTCTTCTGGCCACGCCTAGCCCGGGCCACAACCGTGAAGAACGGCCCGAAAACCGAGGCCCCACCTGAGCCTAAAGTGGCCCTGCTTTCAGCGTCTTGATCAGACAACAACTGCACATACATCAACTCTCGACGATCCGCGCGGATCTCTTGGACCTGCGCTGGACCCCCCTCCCTGGCGCGCGGAGAGCGGCGCCAGAGGCGCCGTCCGGGGGCCCAGCGCGGATTCAGGAAATCCGCGCGGAGCGCCAAGAGTTCATGCTTTTTCGCGTTTTTTTTGGTCCTTCGAGTCTGGACTGTATGTTCGCCGCTCGTGAGGCCCCGCCCATCTTCTCGGACCTCCTCTGGGAGGCCTGCAGCGCGGGCGGGCCCCCGCCTGGAGGCCGGCGGCAGCGCGACCTGCCGGGGCCTGCCGCGACCGGCGGCCACCAGGGCCACGAAGCGGGCCACGCCCTGCTCCAGCTCCTCGCCGGGCACGGTGAGCTCGGCCTCTCCGCTCGCGCGTTGCGGGCGCCGGCGGGGAGGGGGGGGGGGGGCGATCTCGAGGCGAGGGCGATGTCATGATTTGGTCGGCTCAGCGTGCGTGCCAGGGGGTGCGGGAGAATCTGGCGGCCCTCGTTTCTGCAGCCCGTGCGGCACATCTGGGGATCTGAGGCATCTGGACAGTCTGGCACGGGGGAGCCGGGTCTTGTGGGGAATACGGGCCCTGGACCCCGGGGCCTGCCCCCAGGACGAGTTCTTCATCCTGGATGGCTTTCTGACAGTCCCCGGGGCCCGTGGAGGGTTTTGAGAGCCTGAAGATGGCGAAAAACCTTAGGACCCGTTTCCCTCAGGACCTGTTGCCCTGCCCCAATGGCGAGAAGTCTTGGACGTACAGGTTATCATCATGGCCTTCTTGCCCTTCGCTGAGCGATGAGCTGGGGCCGGTCGGGGGCGGCAGAGAGGTGGCCCCGACGGGGCCCCCGGAACTGCCACCGCCGCCTTCCTCCAGAGGTGCCCAGGAGGTGCGCCTCTCTCCACCGAACCTGTGCATTCCCCCCGGCCGCCCTCGCCGCAGGAGGCTGATCCTCCTCGATCCACCTCGATCCCCGATCCACCTCGGTCCTCCTCGACCCGCAGGAGGAGGAGGAGGAGGAGGAGGAGGAGGAGGAGGAGGAGGAGGAGGAGGGGAGGAGGAGGATGGTTCTGCTTTCTCACCTTCGCTCGCATTCTTCTCGGCTCCTCGATCCTCCTCGAACCTCGATCCTCGATCCACCTCGGCTCCTCGATGCACCTCGGTCCTCGAGCCCCCTCGAGGCCGCCACGCAGCCCACGAAGGACGTTTCACGGCCTTATAGTGCGCCGCCCTTCTCCTTAAGGCCCCCTCCGCGCCCGCCCGCCCTCTGCCCCGCCCCCGCCCCGCTCGTGCACAATCTCGCCGTGCCACGTCCTGCATGGGCCTCGACCGCGCGCTGTGCGCCCGCCGGCGCTGCGACCGGCGCGTCGGACCTGATCTTGGCATGCCCGCGCAAAAATTGCGCGGGAATTCTACGGGGAATCCCTCGACAGTCTTCTCCAGACATGGACGAGGTCCTTCCAATTCGCCGGCCCAGCGGGCCAGAGGCGTGCTACGATCTCCGCTAACTGCGTACAGCGCACGCCGGTCGGAAGAAGTGGGTGGACACATGAAGTAGGAAGGTGCTGGAAGTAGATTGGGCTTCCGCCCGCCCCCTGAAGAGGAGGGAAAAGGGACAGCCACTCGACTCTTGAAGCAGAAAGCGTCCGGCGTGTGCACATCTCTACCCCGTGGCCCGATCCGCGCCCGCCCGCCGCTCGTGCCCGGGCCGCGGGGGGCCGGGGGAATCGGCGCCAACAGCGGGGCAGTCAGGGCGCGGGGGCCGCCGGCCTTGGCTGTGCTGCACTCTCCCCGGGGCCCGATCCTGGCCGGCCCTTCTGTTCTGTTCCCTGGGCTGGGCTCGCCTCGATGATTGATGACGATGACAATGACGATGATGATCGTCGTCGTCGTCATCGTCAGCGTCATCGCCATCGGCATCATCAAGGATTCCTGGTGCTGACCTTGTGGAGAGAAGCGCTGTGGAGGAGTCCGTCGCCAGTTCCTGGTGGCGTGGGCGCTGGACCCTCGCGCCATCAAGCTCGCCGTGTGCCATGCTGTGCCATGCTTGGCTATGCCATGTCGCGCTGCGTCATGGTACCATGTGGCACGTTACGATGCAAAATGTTGGTCAAAGGTGCATGCCACGCCATGGTATTCGATGCTACCGTATACCGTGCTATATATATATATATGGGTCCTAGCCTATTCCCCCCCCTGCTGGAATCGATGTTTCGTTTTTGAGGGATTTCGGTCCGCCGCAAACGCTTCACGCACGAATTGGGGGGGGGAGTCGTTTCGCTTGTTCGGAGGTCCTTGGACACTCATCTCCTTGGCCAGGGCCCATATATGTATATACAGGCATACTCGTGCTCTCCATTCCCCTCCACACGTTCCCTCACCTCGCTCTCTCAGCCGTCCCGTGGGCGCCCGCTCCGCCAGGGCAGTGATGATGGTGGGAGTTCGTGTGGTGGTGGGTGGTGGGTGGGGGGGAAGGGGGGGGGCAAAAAAAAAAAATCGCCCCCCCCCGCCACGAGCCGGCCATCACAAGCGGCGCTGGCCGCAAGGGAGCAGCAGCAGGCCTCCACGGTTCCAGGCCGCAGTGGAGTGCCCCCGAGCACTCCAGGGGGGAGCACTCCAGGGGGCTCGCGTGGCTC